CCTCGAAGAGAAAGCATAGCCCGAGTAGGCAGTCCCAAAATCAATGGCTGCCACCAGCAGATTGGGGGAAACTCTGGGTTTTTCAGCTCCTGAAGCAAGCTTTTCATCATCAGTTTCTTGTGAATTATCTGCCATGTCGATACTTGCTGGAATAAATATATTAATACACATATCAAAAATCCACAAATTACAGCTGCTAACTCGAATTCAACTGATAAGAGTATGTATCGTAATCTCTGAAAAGTTTATTAATTTAAGTTGTAATTTTATTTATTTATTTATTTTGCTAATAAAAAAAAATAGTTCAAAAGGTTTTAGGCCCTAGGGATTTCGCCCTCAATCCCCGTGAATTAAAGAACTTCGTAACTCTTAGCTTCCTATGGTCTTTTATAAGTCCTTGGAAAAGATTTTGGTCTACTTTTCCCCCTTTTACCTATTTACATCCTTTTTGTTGCCCCAATCCATCCAAGTCTAATGATAAAACCAAAATTCTCTTTTAACATCATACTGTGACAAAGATTTTGATATGAATTTGAAATAGACGGGTTTTAAGAAATAGCGCCGAAATATAAACATGTTGGGTTTAACGAAAAGGTATTGCGGATTTTCACTTTCTTAGTATTGCTAGGGTCAATAATACACTCTCTTATCAAACCGAAAGTAGAATCCAAATATTAATGAAATTCAAATAATTCATTTATGAGTTTTAATAACAAACCTTGGTGATGTTACAAATGTTTCTTTACTGTAACAGATTTAATTTCAGTTCGATATGTCCATGATCTACAGGAATACTTCATGATTTCCTCCGATAGTCGCTGGAGTCGTCAAACGTCATTCTCTATGTTTATGAGGCTTCCAAAGGGGGGTTTAAAAGGATTGGTACAGTCAAAAAGAAAGTGGTCATACCAATCACAATGTATTTCTATATGATTTGATTTGAACATATTTTATTTTATCCAATATTTTATTTTCATCACACGAGGTTCTTAATTCATTTAATTATTTCTGCAAAATAAATAGAACAATCCCCCCATTCTCCTTCATTGAATCTGATTTAATATATTACCTACTTGATCTATGTAAATAGTACGCAAAACTGGAATTTAATTTTTAACAGAAGTACCTTTGTAGCATAATTTCAAACAAAATAATCTGATATAAGCATAATTTATTTGTAGTAAGTTTATTTGAAAATTAACAGTCGTCTTTGTCCATCCTTTATGCCATTCGTGAGAAATTTATTATTACAATAAATTATTTAATCAATAGTATAAATCTCAATTTTTGTAAACACGAAGTATAATGATTTCATATTTCAAAAGCATTTGTATGTCAATTTTATGTTTGATGAAATGTTTGTGAACATGGTGTATTTACCATTCATCACGTTATCAGAATTTTAAATTTTTACTGTGGTGATTTCATATATTTGGTGACTGACATATAGAAAACTCTGAAACTGATTGAAACCGTAATTAATTAATCATAGTTATATATAAAAATAAACATTTTGTAATTTTAATTTAGATTTCTTTAATAAAGTATTTAGAAAAATATATATAGATGTTATATCTCTGCGTTATAAATGAAATATACGTCATGCTGATTGAACTTTCAGGTGTTTAAATTGAGTACATCACAAAATTGTAAAATGTCTACGTATCTAACGTCCAGAGGCCTTATGATAAATAATTTATATCGTTTAATATTTTGAAAAATTTTGACAATAATATAATGTGTATTAAGTATGCTCTTTGTGCCAAAATTTACAATGTTTAAAGTTTTTCTGCAGGTGCACTTGCTTTAATGTGTTAAATTTAGATATGTTTACTTTCTAAGCATCTAAACAATTTTCTATACACTTTTTTGTCACCTTCTATTTTATTATATGTTAAATTCCAAAACACGTGTAAATTTTGTAAACATTGGAAAGTGTTTAGAATCTATACACTTATGTGCTTCGATTTCTAAACATGCACTTTCTCATACGTGTTTAGAAATGTTACATGTTTAGGAATTAAACATTTTAAAAAAGGAAGGTGACAAAAAGTGATTTAAAAAGTGCTTGGATTCTAAACACATTTCTTACAGTGTGCACATGTAATGATTTTCTTTTGTTCTCTCCCTCCCCTTACCACCAGACACTTGTAACAATTTCAGAATTTTGGCTAAGTGGGGAGACACCACCATAACATAACCGATCTGACTTTGATATACTCATTTTTTTTCTTATAAAGTTGAATAAAGTAAAAAATTTTTAGATAAGATAAACTTTCCTGAAAAAGAAAAACTAGTAAAGCAACTTATTTAAGAAGAGAGATCCAGGGACCATATAGCTGACATAATCAACAATGGTCACTTTCATCAAAGTATTCATTAAATACCGGGGTATATACTTACACTGGTTGTGTGAATCTTGCTTTAAGGTTTTGTCAAAGGTCAACATGTCCAAGAATGTATTTTAACAATAGTTCCAAAACTGTGTGAGGTATAAGGTCGAGGCTTTTGCAGTTTATAAATGTATCATTGATTGACGGATGGAGAGTGGCACTTGTGAACAAATTTTTCAAAAAGGTATTTTTTGAGAAAGATTGTGTCAAGAAATGTGAAGAAAAATCTAAAGAAAAATGCATCTGCATAATTCTGTCCTTTAGTTGAAAACCGTTATTGCAGAGATAATTATATGTTTATCAATGAAAGGCAAGTTGGATGTGAATGGTCTCTGAAAGTCTGTTATTGAAAGCATAACATGTATAAAGACAAGACCCCTATGCATGATATATCCGCCATTTGCATTGTACTTTCAGTTTCAAGTTTTAATATTTTGACAAAATAAACAGGGAAAACAACTAACCAAAGGTTATTGAACTCCAACTTGCCCTTCATTGATGAACATGTTTTTTCTGCAATTATGATTTTCACTAAAGGTATGGCTTTAACTAGGTGTATATATTTATTTAAAATAATTGCATTTTAATAAAAAATAGTTTTTCTCGATAAATATTTTTTACCATGGATTTTTTTCAAGTGGGGCTTTCTATCTTTTAATCAATGATATATTAATGAAAGGAAAAAGTTTTAACTTAATAAACCACACACTTTTGGATCTTATGTAAAAAATAATATTTTGGACAGTTGACCTTTGACGAAACCTTAATTCTGTTTTCAACGTTGTTACTCATTGCATGTAAGATCCTCAACAGTTAAATAAAAACTGTGCCAAAAAGCAACAAAATAATTGAAAATTCATGTTCAAAAAGAAACAATGATAATTTTAAAATGAAATGGACATGATTCTAATGAGTAACAATCAGTTTTATTCGATGAAAATACAATATACAATATTTTGATTAAACACTAATCCGATAAACTTTTTGAAGAAGATATGTACATACTTAAAGAAGCATAAAAGTATTGTTCTATTCAAATAAAATAAACAAAACAGAACTTGCATCATTCTAAGGTTCTTCTCCAAGAAAATTAAATTCGGCACTAGTTACGTCCCCATTAGACATATTTTCTGCTTTAACACGGAGTTCAGTCCCGCCAAATATCAACTGTACATTAACCCCGTGTTTTTTCCCTTTCTTGGGTTTTGGGACTTGGACTTTTAGAGTTCCTAAATAATGACATCCTGGATCGGTGACATATTTTGGCAGTTCATCTGAGTCTGACACATATAATTCTAAATCAAGTTCAGTCTGGTCTTCACGATTGACTTCGTACGGTCGTTTCACTTGTGCTTCGTCAATAAGAAGGCTAGCTCCTTTCCGCACATGTACATCAAATATATCTTTACAATAATCTTTTTCATCCATTAATATCTTCTTTTCTTTTCTATGCATTTTGCTATTGAATTTTTCAAATGAAGCAAAACCGTAAGTATATTTTGCTACTCTTGTCATAATCATGCAAGGATTATGACCAAATAATACGGCTCCTTTTAAAACCGCCAAGCCTGCATCATTTGGAACAACAACACGGAAATCGGGAAATGCAGCACGAATACGAGCTTGTAATATAGGTGATTCAGAAAATCCACCGACCATTAATATTGTTTGTGTACCTCTCACATTTGGTTTTTCCAACAGATGGTTCACATGATCAATAATTCCTGCACATGCAGGTTGGAAAAAGCTGTCAAATAAAGCTTGTGTGATACGCAACTTGTCCCCTTCCCATTTCATACTGTTGCTGTATTTAGATTCTTTAATTGCATCAGTTATGTCTTTATGACTGTATTCTTCAAACCATTCACTGAATGTTGCTGGTATTTTCATTGTGACTTTAGATTGTGGAACATTTGTTTTTTTTCTTTTCTTCATTTCAAAATCTCTAAAAAGTTCTATGTAATCCCCTGTATGCTTCAATCGGAAAGCTTCCATATACAAACGAGTAACAACTTCTATAAGGGTATCTCTAAAAGTATTGTCGACACAAGTTCCTCCCCAGTCCCCTCCACTGGCCTTCTCCAGTTCCGTCAGTTTTCCATTCCCCATTTGATGAACCGTTATATCCACTGTTCCACCTATAAAATAACATTGAATTTAGTTTTTCTTTTCTTCTATAGATGATATAAAAATTGCAGATATACATATATATATATATATATATATACATTATACACACAAGTACGAGTTTCATAAATACGTTTTAAAAAATATATATATATATATATATATATATGTGTGTGAGTTTCTTCATAGTAACAAATCATCACCTCCTGCATCAAGAACGAGGTACTTGCTGCCTGGTTTGAAAACACCAATATCATTACACCCGTCAAGTTTTGTCAGCGGGAGATGACTGCAATATATGGAAGCTGCCTCAGGTTCTAGGGCCAGAATGAGTCTGGTTCTTGGAATACCAGCCTTCAGAATACATGATATACAGATAAAATAAAAATTATAAGCTTTGCTTTTGTGTTTTATTTAGATATTAATATTCATTATGAAATAATTTTTTTTACGAATCAAAACACAAATCTTGCGAAATATTCTTAAGTAGAACGGTTTCTAATGTACCATTTCTGCTGACTTGGTCATGAACTGTTTGGCTGGATCCGACCACATAGCTGGTACAGTCAAAACCCAATTGATCTCTGACTCCCTTACTCCCAAACCTTTCTTTCTTACGGTGTCTAACATGTGATCCTTCATGTATCGGATAGAATGGCTAAACACTTCAATTGCCAATATATTCTTCTTTTCTGTTATATCTAGGATCCTCGTTTCCATTGTCAGTCTCTGTGGAAAAAAAATGTAAATCATGCAGTTTGCAATTGTTTATTTTATCCCACATTGAATGTAAATATGAACCACTAGAAAAAAAAATACGATGAAATGGACAAATGATGTCAGCTCAATTCAAGAGACTTAATTTAAGGGACACTCTAAGAAGACACACTTGCACGTATAATATTGATTAAAAATAATTACCTGGTCCTCCTTCCTAAGTTGGTTGTATAGCACCATTTTGAATCGGCGGAAATAACAATAGTCATGATGTTCCTCTTCTTCTGTCAGTTCGGCATATTTTGATTCTGCTTCGTATCCAAAGGCCACAAACTTATGATATTTGTCTAGCAGAAGAGTGGTGGGGGTCTTATCAGAAATCTGTATACTTGACGGGGCCTTCCAGTCTGGGAGGGATATTTTCATAGGACTGTCTTCAAAGTCACTTTTCATGGAGTAAGCGTACCCCGAGAAGGTTGTGCCAAAGTCAATGGCACAAACCAACAAACCGTCATTTGATGATATTGACATGACAATTCATTCAATAATAATGACACAAATTCCTTGTCTTCACACCTGAAAATATTCATTTGTAATGTTTCAAAATAGATCATTCTGAGTCACTAAATTTACCTTAACGTGTATCATTATTTCTTTTCTTGTGTTGATTTTTATTCAAAGAAATGTTTTCTTAAGGATTAGTTTTCAGTCTCCAATAACAAAAAGATTTATAAAGAAAGTAAAATATTTTACCTGTTCTTCAACAAAATTTGTCAAAATTCAAAACGAAAGTTAATCTTCCGGTTTAAAGTGCATGCGCATATTCGTATTTTTTTGCATTGATTACACCTTGTCAGTTGATAGGACTATATATGCACTGTTAAACATTATTTGAAGGACAGTATATATTTAAACGGGTCCTTACATGTCGTTCCAATTACTAGTATTCTTTGCTTAAACTGCAGATCCTCCATTTTGTGGGGGTCGTTTGGGTTTAATTAGTTTGCAAAGACAGCTGTATTTTCTTACCCCCAAAAGAAATTAAATTACTCTCGCTTTGTGTAAAATTATTCATGATGTTCTAACTTTTTAAAAGTATCTAAATAAATAAGAATATTTCTTTGAAAATTGATTTCTAACCTTCAGCACATATCAGACATATTCATCTTATGAGGGACGAGATCAAAACAGTAGTACGATGTTGTTTATATCATACACTTAACAAAACTTCTAAGTGTTCACTTTAATAAAGGTCTTTATTTAAAAAGTACTTTATAGAATGGTATGATATTTTCAAATTATTACAACAAATGAGTCTTCTCAACAATTGTAGAAAGAAAATTCAATATCACCGATGAAAACCAATGTTCCTTGACGAAGCTTAAAAACAATAAATCTGTACTTTGCGGCACGTGTTTTGTAATAAGCATCTTTTTGTGATCATTATCAAATTTTAAAAACTGGTTTCACTAAAAAACACAAAACATTGGCAAAATGACCATTGAGATAGAAGGTAGAGCCGTTGGTATGTTGATATCTGGACCATCTTTGCACCACGTTTTACTCACTTTTCTTTTAGTGCTTAATTGTACTTGATATTACTTTTAAAAATTATCAAGCAGTATCAAAACCCATCTAAACACATTTTTCTATAGGCTGTGATAATTTTTCATCACTAATTTTTAACCACACCCGAAGTGACCTTGATCTTCTTCTGAGGAGAAAATTTCGAGTCACACCAGGTTAAGAGTGTTAAAGTGTCATGAAAAAATCTTAGAAACATGGAAACAAACCATTTCAATCGTACGAAAATGATAAGAAATTTATGCTCGTGGCAGTCTTATATCAGCTCAAGCAGTCTGAATTATCCTTAAAGCGGCGCACTTTCGTGCTAAACACCCAAGGATATTGACCAAAAGGCATTTGTGTGACGATACACTGTCAAACTCCCGGATCTGAATCCCATTGAACACATTTGGGATTTTAAAAGAAATGTCAAAGCCCCCCCCCCCTTTTCCTCAATGGTTTGGAAAGATCTATGAAGTACATGTAGGTGTGGCAGAAGATGGAAGATGGGTCAATCTCCTATTCAGGGGTACATGGTATCCAACAATAAAGATTGTCTTGTAGTAATTAGAGCGAGTATTGGGTCTTACTCAATCAAGATTTTTTGTGTGAATTTTCATTTTGATTGAGGGTACATCATTTCCTTGACACTTTGCTTAAAATTCTGACGAGATACTTACATGAAATTTACGCAATATCGAACTTAAATGTGCATCATTAACCGAGAATTAAAGAAATTATTTATTGTTTGCATTTGTTCTTTAAAACTTCAAAAATGTTAGGTGAACACTTAGAAGTTTGGTTCAGTGTATATCTAAAACCATGGGCAATAAAAGGACAAATACATGTTAGTTTCCATAAAAAAATTTTTTTTCGTAAGAATATATAATTTCACATGTGAGTTTGTGCTATACGTTTGTATAAAGGAAAGTTTTGTTTTTTCAACACTTTAAATTACCTTTCACTACTTGACCATGTTCGCTAAAATTCCACTTCAGACTTTGCATCAATGTTTTAAAATTCGTTGCTTTTTTATAGCCCAATCAATGTCATTAAATTAAGAATTGGCCAGGGCTTGATAATTATTTTTTATTTAAACTTTTTTAAAATGTAAAATAAATTCTTTAAATATTCATTAATTTTTATTCAGGAAATAGGTCCAATCATACGAAACATGTTTAACAAAATTTATGGTATGCACATATAAATTGATTGAATTCCTTTATGAAGGTGGAAATATATTTAGAAATGAATGTTTCTACACAACTAACAAATGATTTACTCCATGAACAAAATTACATTGTTTTATTTACTCAAGGTTCTTTTTCGAGGAAATTAAAATCTGCATGAGCTATATCATTCGTTTGAACATTCAGAGCCGTAACAGTGAGTTCAGTTCCACCAAATTTAAGTCGAGCCTTGAATTCCCTCTCCAGTCCGCCTTTAGTATTTGATATATCCATGGTAAGTGTTCCAAGATAATTGCAACCCGGTTCATCAGTGTATTTGGGATCCTTTGCTTCGGTGGTGTAAAGAGGAAATGATATTGCTTTTTGGTTTACTGATATTGGGAAGTACGAGTGTTCCCCCTGCTCCTCGTTGAGATACAATACGGTCCCTGCCTCAACGTGCTTACTGAAAACATGGCTACATCTTTCTTTACCTTCAATAACCACTTTTCTTTTCGGTTCATGTTTCTGGGGATCAAAAAGTTCCGTGCATCCTATCCCATACGTATACTTGGCTATTCTGGAAGCAACGGCGCTAGGATCATGTCCATATAGCACTGCACCTCTTAAAACTGCGAGACCTGCCTCATGTGGAATAACCACTCGGCATTCAGGGAATGCATCTCTTATAGCTTGCTGAACTATTGCCGACTCAGAAAATCCACCCACCATTAAAATGACGTTTGTTCCTTTCACTTTTGGATCCGCTAAGAGTTCCTTTACATGATGAACAATCCCATCACAAGACGGTTTGAAAAATCCATCAAAAATGTCCTTATTTATTCGTATTTTGTCTCCTTCCCATTTCAATAGTTTGCTATATTTTGTTTCTTTGGTTCTTTCTGAAATGTCTTTGTCTTCTAATTCTTCGTATTTCTCTGCAAAAGTGGCGGGAATTTTCATCGTGATTCTCTTATTTTGGGACCTATCATCCACTTTCTGTCTTTTCTTTAATTCGAAATCTCTGAACAACTCAATGTACTCTGCTGTATTTGAATGGCAATATCCTTCCATGAATCTCTCTCCTACAATTTCCATCAGCATCTCTTTGAAGGTCATATCCACTTTTACCCCACCCCAGTTCCCTCCACTAGCTCTGCTTAGTTCATGCAGTTTGCCTCCAGATTTCACTTCATGAACAGTCATGTCAATAGTTCCACCTATGGAATGAGGAAAATTTTTCTATCAAACTTTTTCCAAGTTCTTATTGTTCAACTGTTTTCAATGAAAATGTAGAAACTTACCTCCAGCATCCAAAACAAGATATTTCTTTCCTGGAGAAAACACTCCAATTCCACTTTCTGTTCCACTGAGCTTTTCCACTTGCAGCTCTTTGCAGTAGATAGATGCTGCCTCTGGTTCTAATGCAACCATTAATGATTTGCTTTCAATTCCTGCCTAAAAATAAATTATAAAACCTTGCAATTAATGTACCATACTTAAATCTTTGTTTTCAGTAATTTTAATATATCTGTTGAAATCTTAATCATTTTCTATTCAGTTGACTGAGTCATTTGAAAGAAAACCAGTGAGTTAACAGTATGGACAAAATGTAGTCAGTAAATCACATTAAACTGAACTGAGTTTTTCCTCACTTTTTCTGCTGCTTTCCTCATGAACTGCTTGGCCGGATCGTCCCAGATGGCAGGGACAGTCAATACCCACGTGATATTACAATCCTTTACAATAATTGAGGTATCCTTAGACTCTATTTCCTTGATCAGGTGATCTTTCAAATACCTAATGGCGTGAGCAAAAACCTCAACTGCTGGAAGTTCTCTCCCTTTAATGTCGGAAACCTTGGTCTCTGTAGTCAATCTCTGAAAAGAAAACAAAATGTTTACATTTTGAATGAATTCCACCAACAACCACGAAAAGCAACTGAACAAAAAGTGTTATTCAAAGAATGTACCTCTTTTCTAACTTTATCATACAGCATCATTTTGAATCTCCTGAAGTAATAATAATTGTTGGCCTCCTGCTTTTTTTCTTCAGAAAGTTCAAGGTATTTTGTCTCTGCCTCATACCCAAATGCAATAAAGTTCTTTTGACCGTCAAGAAGCACAGTGGTGGGGGTTTTATGTGATATAAGGTCAGTGGAGGGGGCATTCCAGTGGGGGCATTGAATTTTCTTTGGCTCAGCCCTAATGGAAAATGCATATCCTGAAAATGTAGTTCCAAAATCTATCGCTGCTACCATCAACATATTGTCATTCTTGGACCCAACAACAGGTCTGTTGCTTTCCTTAGGTGTCACAACAGGTCTATTGCTTTCCCTGGGTGAGACAACAGGCCTGTTGCTTTCCCTCTGTTGTATTACTGGTCGGTTCGACATTCTAGCTGTTACTTAGTATATTCCTATACTCTTTTGCCTTTACCTTTGACAATAGTGTTCCTCACATCTAAAACGAAGCAACAAGGTTATGACAAAAGCAATGTTTGAGAACGTTTTCATTTTTTCTAACTAATTGTACTTTCGATTTATATGTAGCATTTCAGTTAGGATATGTAAAAAAAAAATGAAAGAAAAACTTAATAGTTAAACGTCCTTTAAATTGAAAATGGTGCGATATACCTTTGTTCGAGTTAGATATAATATTTATTCTCATAATCTGCCATGATTCACAGGTACATGTACATTTTACTTTCGTTTTGAAATTGCTGCTAAAACTTTGGGGGAAAAGTTGTTATATCTGATTGATTCTGTTACTGTCATATATTCATATCAATATTGTAACATTTATAAAGATTTTAATACTTACGACAGGGTTATTTGTTGAAATTAAATCATTTTAGAGATTATCACACCTGAGGGGAACCACATATCTGCTAAAAATAGCCAAGCAATGACTATCATTTAAAATGCATGCTCACTGATAAACATGCACACTTTGTAGTGTGTTGATTGTAATTGGGGCCTTTGGTTGTTTTAGGTTAGGGTACATTTCCAAGCATCTGTGCAAGATACCAGAGATGGTATATTGTCTATAATTTTGAAGGATAATATGGCACGGCAAATTCACAAATATATAAGAAGAAAACAGTTTAGCGATTGATAAACTACTAGTATGTATATTTATCGATTGTAAAGTTTATGAACCCGTAACCGAAAACTTTTTGAGTTAATATTTCGTTCACTATAGCTTTCTTGTTTATATGTAATTATATATGTTATATGTTTATGCCCAATGGACCATGATTTGGTAATAAAATCTATTCTATTCTATTCTAAATCCACCATAAGCATACTATCTTTTAGCTTGTATGTTGTATGATATTTGGCGAAAAGCGGATTTTTATAGGTTTGGGTAGATGTGAATTATCACAGTTCTTAAATGCTCTTAAATGTTCATATGTTCAAAATATTTGGCGTTGTACTAACCAGCAGAAGTTACTTGCTCAAGAAAGACCCTTACCAAACTGATATGTTTGCTGCAAGCCTGCAGCAAGTCTGCTGCAAAGTTGTAGCAAACAAAATTGTTCGCAGGAAGAAAATTGTCTTGTTTGCAGATGATTGCCGCTAGGTGCGATCTTGCGGCAAACATTGCAGCAAATTCGCAGGAATGTTTGCAGGAACATTTCAAGAAACATACACGCCAATTTAATTTTCGCAACAAGTTCGCAGGAAATATTTCATTATTCGAATGTTTGTAGGAAGTTCGCAAGAACAATAAACAAGTCAAATCAGCCAGTGAAATGCAGATTGTACTGGTGTCAACACAAACTGGCCATTTTGAAATGTTTGAATTGAAGTTTCAGTATTTTGTTAGGAATATATACCGGTTTGATTGATTAAAAGTGCAAAACTCTGGATATAGGTGTTATAATACGTATACAGGGTAAACAATAAAATATTAATAGTTTAAGAATGCTAATAAATGTTTATTTGTGTAATAAATTTGGCTGAGTTAACTGTCATGTTGTAAATTTTGAATTTACTGGGTGGCAGTAAATAAAAAATTTACCGTTGTCATGTTGTAAATTTTGTATTTACTGCCACCCATTAAATTCAAAATTTACAACATGACATAACCATGGACAAAAGTTGTCTACCATAGTTTCGCAAATCGCAAAACTATGTAAATAAACTTATGTTTTAATTTTGTCCTTGTTAATAATAGATACTAGTAACGACAGTTTTCAATTCAGTATCTCGCGGAACTACGGAAATCGGTAAATGTAAGGTAAGAGAAATATTTTTTTATGGAGGCCGCCATCTATTTTCCTGGCGGCCGCATACAATTATACTTCCCCGCTTGCAAAGTGGGAGGGTATATAATGATCTGGATGTCCGTCCGTCTGTACGTCCTCGGTCTGTCTGTTACGCTTTGAGGTACCCATCTCTTATCAGCAACTCCGAATGAAGTTTAACGAGACTTTCACATAATCTGTGTTACTTAGTGATAGTGTGCATCTCTTATTTTTACTTTTTGATGAGACACATCTTTTGGATTTCCCATAGCAAAATATGGACACTGCCATTTTTTCTATAATATTGAAGGGTATCAATTACAATACATTTACTGATTCTTTCTTCTTCTCTCTCTCTCTCTTTTTTTTTTTTTTTACATAATTCCATTATGCATCTCCTATGTTATTTTTATTTTTATTTAACACATATTTCGGGAATCCCAGAGCAAAACATAGACTTCGTAATTGTTATCATAGGACAGGCGGGAGTATCATTTAGTGAGCTCAGTGCTTACAGTACCTTTAGTTTGAACTTATGATATCGATAGAAGAAAAACAAAATGTGCGTTATTGCCGTACATATACAATTTTTCCTTCTTGATAATCTTTAAAAAATTTCAAGATTTCAATGATTCGTTTGATACCAGCAATACTCAGTCATTTTTGTCTGCTGTGCGATGCAAAAGGTTGCAAAGACAGCAGGGATAAATATTGGTGATTTAATTTCTTTGCTTATGAAGAAAAATGTGATTAAAAACCTTTTTTTTATATCTTTTTTTAAAGAAGAATGAAAGAATAATTGTTCTGTATATTTTTTTTCTCTAATTTCCTATTCCTAGTAATATATTACTAACAACCTATAAAAATAATTGTTGCCAAGCAAAATCTTATGATTTTATCATGTTATAAATAGGATTAACCTATGATTTTACAAACAATAAAATTGTGAGAATACGTAATGTATTAAGCATATAAAAAATAACCTTAGACCTGATCGTACATTATACTTTAGAGTTGTGCATTTCCCTAAAAAATATGAGATTCTGGCTCAATTCTCTGCAAACTTTACTTTACAACACTATAATTAACATTTAATAGCTATAGTTTAGGGTTGTAAACCATAATTTACAGATTAAACCATAGTTTACAGATCCTGAAACCTTGTTTGTTACTAGATTTAATTAACACTTTATGCATGTTTTTATTCCAATCATTTGAATAGTCAGCATACACAAATATCATTTTGGCATACTTTGAAGTAATGAAATACATGTACATGAAATAGCACTTTAAAAATAATGTAACAATTAATTAAAGACAAGAGGCCCATGGGCCTTATAGGTCACCTGAGCATTATGCAACAACTTTCCAGTGATTTAATTTGATTCATGTTTTAAGCCAGATGCTATGGCTTTCACAATTTTGAAAGAGGCACCATTGATCATCATAACAATACACTTAGCAGTTGCTTAGTTTGTTTACTTAATACCCATAGGCAGGGTGGGGGAACAAAAAATGCATGTCAAGTAATCAGTAATATTCAGCAATAATCAGTAATGCCCCTATCACACATGAACCCCTGACCCTTAGGCCTAGATCCACACATTGCACAATTTTTGAAAAGGCACCCTTGCTTTTCAAAAATATTTGATTAATACCAAGAAGCAGATCTCAAACAATTCATCCAGTTTCAATATAAAAGTACAACCCCCCCCTATGGTACCCCTGACCCTGGGGCCTTGAAATTCACAATTCTGGAAGATTAGGGTCCTTGCTCATCATAACTCCATAGGTAGTTCATCTGCTTAACCCAAGAGCAGAGAAGAACATTTTCAAAGATTTAATGCATTTTCACTATATAATCAATAGAGCCCCGCCCTATCACTAGAACCCCTGACCCTAGGGCCATAAAATCAAAATTTTGGAAGAGGTATTCTTGCTCATCTTAACTATGTACTTAGTTTATTTAATTCCTAGGAGCAGAAAAGAATTTTTTTCAAAGAATTCATGTATTTTCATTATATAATCAATAGAGCCCCGCCCTAACACCCGAACCTGGGACCATAAAATTCACAATTTTGGTAGAGGCACTCTTGCACATCATAACTATGCACTAAGTTAGTTTATTTAATACCCAGGAGCAGAGAAGAAGATTTTCAAAGAATTCATGTATTTTCACTATATAATCTATAGAGTCCCACCCGAACACCAGAACCCCTGACCCTGGGGCCATAAAATTCACAATTTTGGTAGAGGTACTCTTGATCATTATAACTATGCACTTAGTTAGTTTATTTAATACCCAGGAGCAGAGAAGAAGATTTTCATAAAATTCATGTATTTTCACTATATAATCAATAGAGCCCCGCCCTAACACCAGAACCCCTGACCCTAGGGCCATAAAATTCACAATTTTGGTAAAGGCACTCTTGCTCATCATAACTATGCACTTAGTTAGTTTATTTAATACCCAGGAGCAGAGAAGAAGATTTTCAAAGAATTCATGAATTCATAGAGCCCCGCCCTAACACCCGAACCCTGACCCTGGGGCCATAAAATTCACAATTTTGGTAGAGGCACTCTTGCTCATCATAACTATGCACTTAGTTAGTTTATTTAATACCCAGGAGCAGAGAAGAAGATTTTCAAAGAATTCATGAATTTTCGCTATATAATCTATAGAGCCCCACCCTAACACCAGAACCCCTGACCCTGGGGCCATAAAATTCACAATTTTGGTAGAGGCACTCTTGCTCATCAAAACTATGCACTTAGTTAGTTTATTTAATACCCAGGAGCAGAGAAGAAGATTTTCATAAAATTCATGTATTTTCACTATATAATCAATAGAGCCCCGCCCTAACACCAGAACCCCTGACCCTAGGGCCATAAAATTCACAATTTTGGTAGAGGCACTCTTGCTCATCATAACTATGCACTTAGTTAGTTTATTTAATACCCAGGAGCAGAGAAGAAGATTTTCAAAGAATTCATGAATTTTCACTATTTAATCTATAGAGCCCCGCCCTAACACCCGAACCCTGACCCTGGGGCCATAAAATTCACAATTTTGGTATAGGTACTCTTGCTTATCATAACTATGCACTTAGTTAGTTTATCTAATACCCAGGAGCAGAGAAGAAGATTTTCAAAGAAAGAATGCATTTTCACTATATACTTATTTAGCCCCGCCCTAACAATAGAACCCCTGACCCCAGGGCCATGAATTTCACAATTTTGCTAGAGGACTCAATGCTGATTACAATCATGCAAACAGTTTGACTGCTTGATGTCCAGGAGTAAAGAAGAAGATTTTTAAAGATTGCATTAATTTTAGTGGTTTTTGCCCAACCCCCCAGGCCCCAGGGGGGGGGGGGGCAGGGACCATGAAATTCACAATTTTTGTTCCCCTTCACCCATAGATGCTTTGTGTCAAATCTGGTTGAAATTGGTTCAGTGGTTGCAGAGAAGAAGCTGAAAATGTTCAAATGTTAACGGACAACGCACAACGCACGACGACGGACGAAAACAGATAGCAATAGGTCACCTGAGTTTACTCAGGTGACCTAAAAAATAAATAAAAACAACCAGATTAAAGCTTTTTTTTTCACCCGAACACAAAAGTATAAAGTTTATAAATCCCATGACCATATTTGGAAAACGCACTAACATTTAAGAATTAATTTAAAATATTCCATATCTATATTTTTAAAATATGATACTTGATTGATTTTCAAACTATACTGAAATATATATACTTATAATATCATGTTAACATTTGTAGATGTAAATTGTCATTATTAATAATTCATTCTTTTTATTATTACATATATTCCAATTTTAAAAAGATAAGACCTCAAAAAGTATCAATGTGAAAATGCCTGTTTTCAGAAATGAAAAACAAAAAAGCCCAATATTAAATAAAACTCAAAAAATGTCCTGCACAACAATTAAAGCCATAATTATAGTAAAAGTATGTAAAAAAAAAAAAAAAAAAAAAAAAAAAAACATACACACAATCAAATGTAATAAAATTTTCTACAAACAACATTCTCACCTAAAACAATTTTGTAAAACATGCAGCCATGAAAATACTATTTTCCATATTATGAGAAAAGAGGGGACAAGGATAATAAACAAACACAACATTTGACACATTTTCTTTGTTATTACACAAAGATAAATTGAGTATTTGCAACATTTATAGAAACATCTACAACTTTCATGTTTTTAAAACATTACAGCATAACATTTAAATTCATTTTCAATGCTCAAACATTTATACAGTACAAGCAATACAATCATGATTGTTACATTTTGGAATGCACAGGATATAAAATTCATGAAATCATTAAATACAGAGAGTATGTGCACACTGTGCTTCAGTAACAGTGTGCACTTTACAGCAACACAAGAATATTCTTAAATCACACGTGAATGAAACAAGAATTCATATGCAATATCACTTTCATAAGGCACACAAAAGATACATAGAAAGCATATCAAACTTGGTTTGATATCATAGATCACTCATTTAATTCAACCAATGGAATGCATTATTTATAATCCTTATCATAAAGCATATGTATGAATTCATATGTCCACATGCGATTTGGGTGTTGTTTCATGATTTGTACTTCTTGATTCAATAGCCATGCCTTTAAGTTTTCTTATAATAATTAAAAAGAGCATATATATATATATATATATATATATATATATATATATATATATATATATATATATATATATATTGTATTGTGTACATGTATGAGGGTAATGACTTTGGATTTCTATACATCACTCCATAAATTAGTTCTACTTCAAAATCAAAGACTGAATGGATGCTGATGTGAAAGTATGGTATAATATCATGAAATATCATTTGGTACTGTGTTTGAGTATTCTTTCTTTTTGATATTAACAGATTTTTCTCCAGTCTGGACATTAAAGACAGCAGAAAACTGAGTTAAACCTCTGTAAAATCTCCCTGTGTGTCAATTTTGACCACAACCTTGCGAGGTCCTGTAGACACAACAGTCATTGTACTATCAGGGGTCGGAGGGGGCGAGGAGTCCTTCCTCTTTTTTCGAATGATGAATATGAGCAATATAAGAGTCAGGCACAGTATCACTGCTAACCCTACAAGTATTGGAATGAGCGAGGACCTCTCTCCCGTCTGGTCCTCAGAAACCTCAGATACTCCCGCCCTCATGTCCTCCTCTTCATAATGCTTCTCTGTGAGGACAATCCGGATCATGTTGGTTCCTTTTCCTGAGAGTCCTAACTCATCCTTAGGGAATATATATATATATTCATGATGAAGAAAGATGCATCTAATAAAATGATTAAATTATGGGCCCCAAGGCAGGGGTACCGTGGAGGGGGGGAGGGGGGCTGGGTTACATTGTCTGCAGTTCCGTGGTCTTCAAAGGAAATAAGAAATAAGATATGTGAACCATCATCCATTGATCTATCGTATTATTTCCTTTGAAGACAACGGAACTGCAAACAAATGTGTGTCATTACCGTACACAAAACCTGCATTACGTTCAATTTTCTTTGATATTCTTAAACTAGAGGTACTGTAATCACTAAGCACATGAAATTATACCACCATGTATGATTATATTGGCTTTATTTAATTAAGAATCTGTGAAGTCTTATTGTTTTTTTATTCAGTGATATAGAAGGAGTTGCGGATGAGAGATGGATACCAATCAATATTATAGAAAGAATGGCAGAATGTTTTGCTCCTGGAAACCCGAAATTATGCCCGATCATATCCCACATTTTCTCAATATCTTCAGATTTTTTTTCATGTGTTCTTATTTCTTTCGTGTGCAGTCATTGAACTTTTATTTTACTTCTTACTTTTTGAGGCATTCTAAATCCAGTCTTGGATTCAATTTATTATGTTGCTGAGGCGCAGCATGATTTGGGTCTTAACCAGGTAGTGGTCGCTGTTGGCATCCACTTCCCTCCGGACCTTGATATCTAGAAAAGATTATCTCTGTCCACTAATAAGAAGATGGTCAATCTGTCTGTTTTTTTTTTTTTGCTGTTCTAGTAGCAGACACCCATGTTGCTTTTTGTATGTCTTTGTGTATGTCAGTGTATTGGGGAACAATGTTCCTGTGATTTAAAGTCCGTTAGTCTGACAAAATTCACACAACTTCTCACGTTCTCGTTTTATGTTCCCAGTCCATGTATATACCCATCCATAGTTCTTTCCGATCCAATATAGTCGCTTCCTTCTTTGGCGTAGTTTTCTCCCATGATAATGATGATGTTATTCTTGTTACATCCATCCAATGTATCTTGTAACTCCAGATAGATTGGTCCTTCTCCTCCTCTGCCTTTTCATTATGTGCCGCATATACCCGGGTACTTGGATCGCCGACACTAACCTGTATCCTGTATAGAATCTTGCTGTTATTCTCTTGGTGTCCATTCCATGAGTGATTCCATTGCCTACTGGTTGATCATGCCCTCATCAGTCTGTGTTTGCTATGAGACACCTGAAATAAGTGTCATATGAAAAGTAAATTAGGGGGTCACATTGGCTCCGCGTCTATGACTCTATGTAATAAAGAATCTGTAAAGGTTTCATTAATATTTTTCAGTGATATAGGAGCAGTTGAATACCAATCAATATTATAGAAAGAATGGGCGCGTCCATGTTCTACTACTGGAAACTCAAAATAGTGCCCAATCAAATAGGAAAATAGGAGGTTATAATGGCATTATATAACAAAGATTCTGTGAAAATCTTGAATTTCATTTAGCGATATAGAAGGGGTTGCGGATAAGAGATGGGAACCCCTAAACGTAACAAGTGATGGACAGAGATAGAGACGGGCGTATACGGGCGGACGGACATACCGATCACTATATACTAGTAATAAAATTATGTGTTTTGCTCCTGTAGACCCGAAATAAGTGTCAGATGAATAAGTAAAGTAGGAGGTGCACAGTGGCATTATATATAACATTCTGTGATATTATCATTAAAGTTTTATTTAGTGGTTATAGAAGTTGCAGAAAAGGCCATCTTTAAAAAGACTTGATCGGTTTCCCTCTCCTGGCCGACTGGCTAAAAATGGCCCGACTCAAAACACTTTTTAACCTCTAGGAAGCAATTACAGACGGATGGACATACCGATTACAGTATACCCTCCCACTTTTCAAGCGGGGGTATGAATTGCACTATATAACAATGATTTTGTGAAAGTGTCAATAAATTTTTATACACCCCGCTGAAAAACGGGAGGGTATATAGTAATCGGTATGTCCGTCCACCTGTCTGTCCAGCCGTCTTTCCGTACGTCCTTCATTTACGCTTTGGGGTACCCATCTCTAATCCCCAACTCCTCTTTTACCACTGAACAATATTTAACAAGATTTCTCACAGAATGTTTGTTACATAGTGTCATTGTGCATCTTCTATTTTTATATGCCTGGCTTGAAAAGTGGGGAGGTATATAGTAATCGGTATGTCTGTCTGTCTGTCTGTTGGGGTACCCATCTCTTATCCTAAACTCCACTCATACCATTGAATGAAATTTGATGAAACTTTCACAGAATCTTGATTACATACTGCCATTGTGCACCTCCTGTTTCACTTTTTGATTTTTGATATTTTTGGTTTCCCACAGCAAAACATGGACACTGCCATTATATGCTTATCTATGACATCAGGTGTTTATATAGTTTATATCATGAAAAAAATGTGCATCTCCCATACAAATTCAGAGATTCTGCCTCAGTTCTCTGAAAACTATAATTACAACCGTAAACATTCTTTAGCTATAGTTTAGATTTGTAAACCATAGTTTACATTTAGTGAAACCTTTCTTGTCAGATAAACTTGTCAGATAAACTAAAGTTAACACTTTATGCATGTTTTTATTCCATACATTTAAATAGTCAGCATACACAAATATCATTTCAGCATACTTTGAAGTATTGAAATATATGTAAATAGCACTTTAAAAATAATGCAACAATTAATTAAAGAAAAATAAATTAAAACAACCAGATTAAAGCTTTTTTTCACCCGAACACAAAAGTATAAAGTTTATAAATCCCATGACCATATTCTGAAAACGCACTAACATTTAAGAATTAATTCAAAATATTCCATATCTATATTTTTAAAATATGATACTTGATTGATTTTCAAACTATACTGATATATATACTTATAATATCATATTAACATATGTAGATGTAAACTGTCATTATTAATAATTCATTCTTTTTATTACCGTATAATCCCTATTAACCGCCCCGGGCGCTTAGAAAATTGCGAAAAGGGGGCGGTTATTTTGGTATTCTCTTCCTAAAATTTAATGTCATATTTTAATTTCAAAAAATCTTTTGAAAAAAAAATAAATTCAAAGAAACACTAAAATATGTCTAACTTTACTTTAAGTGAAGATAATCCTTCCATATTATGCTAAATGATTCATATTCCACCAAGAAATTGGATTATAGAAAGTTTCATTTTCACTTTCTTCAAATCTTGGCAGACTTTTGATACGATTCTAGATGATTTTAATCACTGTACAGGGGGCCCTTATTTCCTGACAATTAAAAAAGACCTAGAGGGGCGCTTATAGGGGCAGGGGCGGTTAATAGGGATTATACAGTATTACATATATTCCAATTTTAAAAAGATAAGACCTCAAAAAGTATCAATGTGAAAATACCTGTTTTCAGAAATTAAAAACAAAAAAGCCCAATATTAAATAAAACTCAAAAAATGTCCTGCACAACAATTAAAGCCATAATTATAGTAAAAGTATGTAAAAAAAAAAAAAAAAAAAAAAAAAAACATACACGCAATCAAATGTAATAAAATTTTCTACAAACAACATTTCACCTAAAACAATTTTGTAAAACATGCAGCCATGAAAATACTATTTTCCATATTATGAGAAAAGAGGGAACAAGGATAATATACAAACACACCATTTGACACATTTTCTTTGTTATTACACAAAGATAGGATGAGTATTTGCAGCATTTAAGGAAACATCTACAACTTTCATGTTTTTAAAACAGTACAGCATAACATTTGATTTCATTTTCAATGCTAAAAAATTTATACAGTACAAGCAATACAATCATGATTGTTACATTTTGGAATGCACAGGATATAAAATTCATGACATCATTAAATACAGAGAGTATGTGCACATGCTTCAGTAACAGTGTGCACTTTACAGCAATTAACACAAGAATTATTATTCTTAAAGCACACATGAATGAAATAATGATTAATATGCAAAAATATCACTTTCATAAGGCACACATAAGATACACAGAAAGCATATCAAACTTGGTTTGATATCATAGAGCACTCATTTAATACAACCAATGGAATGCATTATTTATAGTCATTAATACAAAGCAAGTGATTTGAGTGTTTGTTTCATGATATACTTCTTGATTCAATAGCCATGCCTCTGATTTTTTTCATAATAATTAAAAAGAGCATATATACATTGTACTGTGTACACATATGAAGATAATGACTTTGGATTTCTATATATCACTTCATAAATTATTTCTACTTCAATATCAGAGACTAAATGGATGCTGATGTGAAAATATGGTATAATATCATGAAATATCATTTGGTACTATATTTGAGTATTCTTTCTTTTGATATTAATCGATTTCTCTCCAATCTGGAACCTGAAGATGAGTTAAACCTCTGTAAAATCTCCCTGTGTGTCAATTTTGACCACAACCTTGCGAGGTCCAGTAGACACCACAGTCATCGTACTATCAGGGGTGGGAGGGGGTGAGGAGTCCTTCCTCTTTTTTCGAATGATGAATATGAGCAATATAAGAGTCAGACACAGTAACACTGCTATTCCTACAAGTATTGGAATGAGTGAGGACCTCTCTCCCTTCTGGTCCTCAGAAACCTCGGATACTCCAGCCCTCATGTCCTCCTCCTCGTAATGCTTCTCTGTGAGAACAATCCGGATCATATTGGTTCCTTTTCCTGATAGTCCTAACTCATCCTTAGGGGACCTTCTCTGTCTCCTCAGCCAATGAGGGGCTGTGTTATCAACAGGCAGGGAGTGGTAGGGGGCTATCCTGCCATCTTGAGTATTCGGTGAATGTAAATTGTAGACAACATGCAGAAACCAGAGTCTGTCAGGATCACTCTAAAAAGAAGGAAAAAATCAATTTAAAATCAAAATTTCTAATTTTGATTGAATAAATAAATAGTGAGAATCAACTGATGGATCGCTTATTAAAATATAACTTTTCATCACTATTTTCCCCTTACCTTGAAGAGTGGTTCAGTATCAATAACAAATCCATCTGCTCCAGGCTGTTTGACCAGTCTAATGGCTGCATCTTCCTCGGCCAGTTTGGCTGATAAAGGTATTCCATTCAAATCTTTATCAACTGTAAAAGGAGCCAAGCGGTCCTACAATTGCAAAAAATAAAGTGAGTACATTTATCTTGAATTGCTTACCTCTAGGTCTAAATCAAACAAGAAAACTGGAATAAAAATAAAATTTTATTGAAACATACACAATTCATAGGATCATAACTGAATTCCTGCTGTAAACTTACAATTATTTTCAGGTGATACTGTAATTTTTCCGAGTCTGAGAGGCAGCCATATTGTTCAGATTCTGGATCAAATGTTGGAATGTAGCCATCCTTGCCTGAGCAAATGAAAACTTTCTCCAGAGACACCTGTAAATGCTCCCCCATCCTCTGGACACTTTTAATGTCAATTCTACCATAGATTTTCTCACCTATAAAAACAAATTAATGGACATCACTATATTATTTACTAAATAATTTGTGCAAATACGCTTCATTTCACAGATTAAAAATTGAATGCCATTCTTCATTTCTTCAAGGTTTTGAGCGAAAATAAATTGGGCAAAGAACTATATGCGGTATATTGCATATGTTTGCCCCCACAAAAGTCAAATTTTGAAAACTTCCTGAAATGTGCTGAATTCAATAAATTGTACGAGAAATATAAGTTAACAGAAAATATTATAGTTCCAGAGCAGTGTATTCACAATTTCTGTTTTTATGACGTCATAAACTAGTCCGATTTTATATCCTTTTTCAGAAAGAGGACAAAATGGACAAAATTTCAACAATTTAAGCTTTAAAATTTATAGAGCGCATGTGTGTTCAGGAACAATATTGACATATTTCATTGATATTATCATTCTACACATTATATCAAAATATTTATCCTGAACACACATGCGCTCGGTGACTTTTATTTAAAATATCGACGAAATATGTACATTTTTCTGCAAAATTCATAAAAAACTGAAATTACGTCATATTTGTGACGTCATTACGTACATATGACGTCATTACTTATGAAATTATTCAGTGCTTTGAAGTCAGCATATACTCCCCTGTTTAAGGACTTAATTAAATATTACTCCATCAAAGTTTGATTTTGGGGGGCAAATGTTGGTTAATACCGCATACAGTTCTTTGGGAAGAAGGGGGGAATATACCAGTCACTATTTTTACTCCATTGTTACAAAATTTAACTTAATCAAAAACTCTACCTGTTGCAAACTTTTCAGATAAAAAATATTCAAGCATCCTTTTTTGTATAAGGGAATGCTTTCTATTGCAAGTGCCATAGAAAAAAGCTTTCTTTTGTATTTGCCAAACTCTTACCGGGAGCAAAGGAGGAGACCCTGTTCTGTGTGTATTTCCCTGGGTCTTCAGACATCCACTGTTCTTTCTTTCTCATCAAGTGGAAGTCGGTGTCCAGTGTGTACTCCACTGGGACGGGGTCACTGATCTGCTGGAACTGGACAGGGAGGGAGAAAGAGACGGGGGCCTGGGGGTAGCAGGGACCATCAGTCATGTAGGTCTGATGGACCGGGGTCAGACAGGGGATCAGAGAAATGTTGTATACACCGGTGTAGTCTTCAATCTGTTAAAGGAATTCTTAAACATTAGTGCATCAAATATCAAATCTGAAGCTACAAAAATAAGGTGAATGTATTTTATTACTTAAAGCTTTATTTGAATACAGATCCATATCAAAGGTTCAAAAAACCAAATTTCACACAGTGGAAAATGCATGACTTAATATTGCTGAAATTTTCAGTTTTCCCTCATTCTTAAAACATTTCTACTGCAAAACTTATTCAAAGTTAACTCCAAATTGTGCAAATTCACTCATATTTGATTTTTACTATAAAATTCAATAAAAAGATATACATTTCTGCAATGTTTATAATTAATATAAAGTTTTAAATTCTTATAGCAAATTTTTGTAAAAATTGATTTTTTAAAGTACAAAATTCAGAATTTATATTCTTACTGCAAAATTAGATTCAAACTGCCAGAGTTGTTCTGGTTGGTTGAACGTTGAATCTCCGCCCAAAAGCTGCAGTGTCAGAGATAATCCTGGGTGGTCGGGTGAAGTCACAAATGATGTTAGTACACCTGTAATGGTAAACATTCATCAAACTCTTGATGATCAAACAATCATGAAGAAAAGTTCAGAAAAATTGAAATATTATATCTTATACATGTACCATATTTTTTCTTAATTCAACTGTGATTTGAAAACCTCATTCTTCCACAATTTAAAGTTGGACTTCTTTGTTAAGCTTTAAAATTGTCTACCTTGTGGTGAGGTATCCTGTAGTATGAATTTTCCAGTAAAAGCTGCCTTAGTAGTGAAAGACACATGTAGTCTGCCATCATCTAGAACTCTCATGGCTGACGGATACAAGCTCCCTGAAAATAAATCAAGATGCATCCTAGGTCTAAAATACAGTGTTTCATTCAACATGTGGATACAATACTGAGAACTGAAGAAATATATGATGAATGCAAATCATACATACTGTGGCATTCATAAAGACAGTACAGAATAAACATTTTAAAATCTACATTCAGATGGATACCTTTGACATCGACTGTAGATGGGGATACAATTCCTTCCCCCCACATGATACCCGTGTTGTACACGAAAGTCAGGGGTAGAACCGTTTGGTGGTCCTGATGGAACCACGCCCCAGGGACAGCTGGGGAATACCTGACATAGGACACATACAGCCACACATCCAGGGTGATTGCAGACAGTGTAGAGGAAATGGACTGTAATCAGAGGAAATTAAGAACAATTAGCTTATTTCATAAAGCTTTTTTTACAATTAATTCACTCATGCAGACACTGTTGATTTGAAATGATAATGCTATTCTCCAATGAAATTGCCCCATTTTGAATTTTCAAAAACTTCCTCTATACAATGTTTGCTTTGTCAAAATTGACTGATACTGACCTGTCCATCTGACCTGATTTGACCTCCGCACTTTGACACCAGTTCAGACAGGCCAAAGTAACCAGTTATCTCCCATACACAAGATTCTATGTCCAAGTTCCTAAAAGAAACAAGTGATTTGATATTCAAATAAAATAAGTCTGATATTCACAACAACAAACTCAGTAATTTCATTTCCAAGATCCTTGATTTATTTTGCATCATACTAGTAATAAAATCATGTTAAAAAAAGAATAAATCCGTACATATTAAACCTAATTACAACAGCCATATTATTCGAATTTTGTTTACCTGTAAAACCTGAGAGTGGGTGCTGAACGTAGGTCCACATTATGTTGATTAGGTTCTGCATCCCCTACAGCGTTACGATGGCGAGTGACATTAGAAGTGAACCCTCCTAAGTGTTCTGTGGCATCCAGTAAGTTAGAGCACTGGTGCTGGGCTACTCTCAGACTGCTGGGTGTCAGGATGTAATCAAAGTTAGATGGCTGATATGTGGAGACCACTGGCAGAAGGCCATCAGTATGGGGGATGGTGACCGAAATCTTAACTGTGTTGGGATGATCCCTGCTTTTAGGACCTACAAAATGAGAAATTAATACACCTTACCTGTTTGGCTATTTAGCTAAACACTTGGAAACTTTAAGTTTGGGTATAATGACTACTTTGACCATAGGCTAGTGTTTTCCTACCTTGGTATCTGATGCTTGCTTGATATGGTTGATTCCCTGGAGACCCATTCTGCCTGGGCATACAGATTCCATTCCTATTGTCAATGATCACTGGTCTACTGGTCATTTCTTTACCTGGGTGACCTTCAGAATTGAAGGCTCTAGCAATGCACTGTACTCTACTGCCTGGAAATATGCAGTATAAAATATTAAATTATTTTTTATGGCATCACTCCAATTTGTTCAAAGCAAAAGATTAATTTTGCCCCATCCCTCCCAATTACATACAACTTCCTAACAGAGCACAATAACTGGAATTTATAAATATTACTTTCTTGTCATAATATGCTGCGATTCTTATTTTAACTCACCTGCAGTGAAGTATATACTGTCAAGAGTGATTCCATTTGTAGCAGCAAAAAAGGTGGTGGATCTTATGTCTTCCAGGGGATGAGTCACTCCATATTTCTCTGTTGGTGCAGCAACTTTCCAGCGAAATCTTGTGGCTTTATTGTCAATTCTAGAATCCCTACAAACCTGAGATAATTTTGTGTACTGTGGGTGCATTGGGTTGCAAGCCTGAAACAAAAAGAATTATGTACTCAATCCACAATATGGCGATCAGAATGACTAGTCATTTCAAATCTATAAAGGAGTAAATATTATGGATAATTTGTACGACACTAAATAGTATGTTTTAGTAAGATTTTTCACTGTTGTACATACAGTGATACAGATGACGGGGTATCCGTTGACCGGGTGAACATCTGCCGTGGAAGCTCTGTCGTAATCTCGGAGTGATACTGCCAGTGGTCTCAGAGGGAACACAACGTCAGCCAATCGATTCTTCTCCTCAATCACAACCTGAGCCCGAGCATTTCTCTGAAAAATAATGTTTTATTTATTATCACAATTTAAAATTTTTAAAAAAAGAAAAACTAATGAAATATTAAAATTAAGTTTTTTGAGAAGAAAATCAGATTATATGATATATAATATGACCCTTCGAATTATCCTAAGCCATGATTAAAACTAACTATAAATCAAATTTAGCATTTAGTTGAAAACTAGAACTGTCCAAACGGGACAAAATACCCCCCGCTGGGTTTTTTCAGAAGTAAGTTTTTCCATAATAAAGATATGTATCACACATGAATTATGAAATTTTTCTTCCAGTGACCTTGAAATTCCCCAAATGACCTTGGGTCAAGGTCATGACATACCCTTGGGTCATGGGCAATCTTTGTGTGAAATAAGAACCTACCAAGTTTATCAATAAGAAAGATATGGACCGGACATGAATTATGAACTTTTTCTTCCAGTGACCTTGAACTTCCCCAAATGACCTTGGGTCAAGATCATGACAAACCCTTGCGTCATGGGCAATCCTTGTGTAGAATGAGAACCTACCAAGTTTATCCATAAAAAAGATGTAGACCGGACACGAATTATGAAATTTTTATTCCAGTGACCTTGAACTTCCCCAAATGACCTTGGGTCAAGGTCATGACACACCCTTGGGTCATGGGCAATCTTTGTGTGAAATGAGAACCTACCAAGTTTATCCATAAGAAAGATATGGACTGGACACGAATTATGAACTTTTTCTTCCAGTGACCTTGAACTTCCCCAAATGACCTTGGGTCAAGGTCATGACACACCCTTAGGTCATGGGCAATCTTTGTGTGGAGTAGTAGATTCTAATGTCCCTCCGTAAGAAAGATATGGACCGGACACGTTTGCACGGACAGACGGACAAGGTGATTCCTATATACCCCCTCAAACTTTGTTTGCGGGGGGTATAATTAAGAAAATTCTTTAAAAATCTAAATTAGTTAAAACAAGATAAACTTTTATTTTACCTTGACCTCTGCTATTCCATTTCTGTCTTGTCCCAAGTGTACAGTGAAAATCTCACTTATCTCCCTTCTGGCATCATGAAGAATGGAAATCTCCACATGTATTGTTGACATACCAGGATTAAACAGTAATTCTGTTGGGAAAGAACAAACAAATTGGCGAGCTTATCTCTACTGCAAGTAATTTGAAGTATATGCTTGAATACAGATATAAAATCAGGTAGCATTTATTTTCCTTACCTTTAGCAAGTGGATCGTAATCCTTTCCACTGTGGGCAGAGCCATCTTTGGTATGGAACAGAACCTTAGACACTCCTGAGACGTCCCCAAGTCTTCTAACAGGAATTATGACCTTTGACACATCCCCAGGTAGAAGTGGCTCATTCACAAAGTATCTCGGTCGTGAAAATTTAATAATAGGCTCTGAAATTAAGAAAATGACTTAATAAGGAATTTGAACAAAAAAAATATTGGAATAATGCTACATGTAATACTGATAGGAGTTCATGTATATGAAAATCCTTGAAGGAAAAAAAAATTAAAGAAGTTTATAAATTGAAACCATTAATGATTTAAAATGTCTCTCACTATCTGAATCATCATTAATTCTAATAGTTGTTGAGTTCATCCTTCCAACTGTTGCTAATCCAGCTGCCAGGCTCCAAGGATTTCCAAGAACTAGCCTAAATACCTCAGAATCTGGCTCATATATATTGTCATTCACAATATACACTCGGCAAGACTTCTGTCTCTCACCTGTAACAACAAGGTATCGTACAAACATAAAAACTTACACTAACACCAGTAACTATTATTGCTGTCTTGGTTCCAAAAGTGAATGCCAATCATTCTTCATTTCAACCTTGATTTAACTCAATTCATTTAGTCTTGTCTTATAATTTAAAAGAATGAGAGTGAAGAACTTGACAAAATTTTTTGTGAATTTAGAAAACTTAAAAGTCTATTGAAGTTAAACTTTTCATTTTCCCCTAAAAAGGACTTCAGTAACTTTTAATGAATTTCTCAGATTTTAATGCTATTTCCCTCACTGAATTTATGAAATGTAAATGTTTATTATAACTGAAATACTTAAAGAGTGCAAAAAAAACATCAACAACTGTTCATCTTGAGAATTCAAATTAAACTGGAAATTCATTTCATTTAACTAATTTATCAATACTATAGTATAGAATATCAACCAGGCTTAAAATGAATCAGTGAGCCATCTGTGTCCATCCTCTCCCTGAAGTCCTTGGTCACGCGGGCTGTAGACTGCCTGGTGTAACACCTCACGCTGGAATCATGGCTTATGTCCCCTGATCTAACAATTACAGCTTCAGCAAAACCTTGCTCCTCATTTACAAAATACTCAGGGTCTTCAAATTGCATAGAGGGAACTGAAAATTGCATTTCAGAAAGAGAAATAAAGGTCATGCCTTGTTTTATAAATAAAGAAAATCACACAGAACAATTTGAAGTTTTTTTTTTTGTATATCGGTAATTTTTTTTAATTTAAAAATCTTAATTATCTTAATTATTTGTATGTAGATAATATGTAGTCAGGACACATAATCCTGAACTCCTACCATCTGATACAGAGTCATTGATGTAGACCAAGGCTCTATCTGGAGACCCCAGTGACCCTCCGATTGTAGATTTCAGCACTATCTGGAAGTGCTCTATCCCTTCAAGGTGAGGTCTCCCAAGGTCATCCAGAATCTGGATTGATATTGTATTCAATGTTACACCCGGAGCAAAATCTAGGATCTTATTAACTGCAATGTAGTCTAATCCAGCTGAAACACAATGATTAACACCATTAATTATTTATTTTTCATTCCAGACCTGAAATTCTTATCTTCAGAATTAAAAAAAAAGTTCTTGTTTAAAAGATATCTGTTATCAAATCAGCTGTTCTATCTGCACTAATAAACTGATTCCCTATCTTTTTTATTTCACACAGTGTGATTTTATCTATTTTTTTGGTCAGAATTGAGGTTGGTCAGTTTGTATTTCTGCCAGAACATCACACCTACTGTGTACAGGCCAACCATCAAATAAAACCTCTTCTCTCTCTCTCTCTCTCTCTCTCTCTCGAACTTCAAAATCACAACCTACTGATCTGTTTCAACCTTATCAATTTATAAAAATCTTATTCCAGTGGTTTTTTTACTGACCTTGGGCTGACTTGGGATTGGTCATGCGTGAGCGGATTGTCACACTGGACGGCTTGGAGAGGTCAGTTCCACTCCTTCGGATCCCCACCTCTATCTGCTTTTCACTCTCATCAACCACATACTCTGATCTCTCAAATGAAAACTGGGGCTCTACAAAATTGTGAAGTTTGTATTTTGAAACTTACTTTTCAAACATTTTTTTTTACTTGTACTTTCATTTTAAAATTAACTATCTGCTAGTGATAGAAATTCCAGAAATCTTCAAATATGATACATGTATTTATTTTAGAGAATTCTTTTATCTAAGCAAAGAAAAAAAAACCTTAGTGTCAAAAGCAAATATAGTCAATTGAAATTGAAATATGTCCATAATATTATATTTCACGGCCTATTAGTCAATACTTCAATAAATTAACAGTACATGTATTACTTCACAAGTGGCAATTATTATGAAGTAGTTTAGTGAACAAGATTATATATGAAAAGAAAGTTTCCTTTAAATTAATATGCCGTCTACCATTACATATGCATGTACTCCTAACCTCTAAAATCCTATTACACTGGGCACATATTGGCAAAACAGGGGATATAAGTATCAACTGCACTTTTACAGTTACTAAATGCCAAGGATAATACTAGACTAAGTGATTTGTACTGGGTAGTACTGTACAGTGCATTTTACAGTTGCAGCATGAATAATTTTCTTGGCTTGGTTTTAACTCTATAAACTTTTATTAATAATATATTTTTTGTTTCTTGTCTTTTCCTTTCTTTCTCCCCTTTTTTTTTGGTTGTTTTTCTTTCATATAAATTTTAATTGTATTATCAAAGTTTGAAAAGACCAACAAACCAAATTACATTTCATCTCTTCCTTAAAGAAAAAAAATAATTTAATTAATCTAAATCCAAAGATGAAACAAGCTTCAAGATAAAAATGTACTTCTACTATCTTCAGGTCAAATTACACAGGGGAGGTTACTGTGGCAGAAGCTGATAAAAACCCTCAGCGGGGCGACATGAGCTCTCAGTGGCTTGTCAGTGGCTCATCCTACTCACAAATTACAACCAAAGCCGATTTGAAAGCAGTCATCTACTGTTACAGATAACCTCTATCTTATTTTCATTTTCTATGATAATTTTATCAACTTGTCATTATAACAAAACCCCTGAAAACATCTTTTTTGTGATCATTTGGCTTGAGGCAATCATCACTCTTCACCATAGGGTGCTGATGATTTTTCATATCAAAATCTGTTTTTTTATGCATAGAAAAAAATAGCCTTTTGAATCTTCATGATCTCTGGGGGCAAATAAAACACTTGAACCTGTCTCGATTTTCCAACATGAAACAATGTTTCTTTTAAAGAGTCCTGTACATTTGCAGACTTTATGATTTTTAAAACAATTATGAGGATAATTTTTCACATTTTTATTTCTGTGGTTAACAGCAGTTGACTCATGCTTCCCCACAAGCAGTCTTAAAAAGTCATAAAAACTATGGCATAAGTAACTCAATGCCCGTTAAAAGTCACAACTGCAGGAGATAAATATTTCTTATCTTTATCAATTTTGAGTTTTCCATTTCATGTTGCCAATACATTTAGCAATTCAAAAGATAATTTTGCCAGTTTGCACTTGAAAATATATTCGTTAATTGCCGAGCACATCCATAACGACTAAGATTTTCCCCTGTGCACTGAGCCAAGAAAATTTATGGAAATAGGTTTAGATTGGCCTGTCAAGACTACTTATTTCAAAAACTCTGCAAACAACAGAAAATGCTAAAAAAGAACCAGCAGGAATTTAGCAAGATAGCTTTGTCAATTTCCCCTGTCAAGAAATTCCTTTTTATTCTGACAGAACACAAAATTCTCACCAGGTCAACTCACACTAGCAAAAGAAAAATAAATGAATTAAGATACAAAAAAATTGGTAAAACATATGCACCTTCTCCCTCAATAAGATTCTCCTTTTCCCTAATAAATATACAATTTGCAATACTAACAGAAATAAACAATCATAGCATCAAAGGGGTGCCCTCCGAATTATAGAAAATAAAAAGTAGCACATCTCCGATTTATGTACACTTTTTTCACTTCAGGTGGTCATAACATTTGTTTTACAGGGTTCATCTCTCTGATTTATCCAGTCATCAATCACACCATGAGGTGAAAGGCAAACAGCAGATGGGATGTGATTTCTGAAATCCCTCCATCAACTTGACACCTAAACTCTACAACTCACACTATCTCATCTCCTCCTATCCCCTGACCACACACTGAAAAGTTATCTAGTCCTTCACACTGATAAAAACATGCAGCCTTTATCTATGGCATTTGGCATTCTGTTAATAAGAAATTAATTTTTCAATGATAAAATATCAAATTCTTCTGAAATACATGAAAAAACATATTATTTTGCAGGTGCTTGTTTCTGTGTCTAGACATAGGGGAAAATTAATGCTTTAGATGTTTGAAAATATAAAATCCCATGGGTGTTTTCCTCTCCATATCATTCTAATGTCTCCTTCAATTAATACAGAATTAATGTCAAAATACCAGCAAATTGGTGATATATTTTATCTCCAGTAGTAAAACTGACAAGGGGGGCAGGATAATTGACCAGAGAGTCAAATAGGATTTTCCTCATCAGGGAGAACTGTCTGCAGTGATGGTTTGGGATGCATATGCATAGCAGATGTTATTACGCCCTTGGGCATTGTTTAATGTATCTAAATGAACCCAACAGGTCAGGACATCTATCAAATCATCTTGGGTGATATACTGTAATTGAGCCGAGGATATGATAATAAATATTATGAGTAATAATCTGTCTCTCTTCTGACCAGTCTGTAACTGAATGTGTCCCCATAGAGTCCTTGTATGAAAATATATGCTAATTCTTCTGTTTTATATTTCTTGCAAAGAAAATGTCTTGAGCATAACAAAGGGCCATATGGGTCATATCATTACTGAAAACTCTTGCAACAAAACTGATGCAGATTAATTTTTTTTTATGTTTCATACCCTGATTTTTTTTTTTTTTTTTTTTTTTTTTTTTTAGAAAACAACCTATGGTTTATTGATTAAATTGAAATAATATTTCTACTAAAACAATTACCATGATGTCAAGTTTGCTACCTAATGTCCTCTCAATCTTCACTAGACAAGGCTCTGACAGCCTTTGATTTTACTGCATAGGAATTGAACTACTAGTTGCTAGCAACTTTGTTTGCAAATTAACTATACAATTATAGGTCTTGTTCCCTTGATACAAAGCTGATAGCAAGGATATTTATTTCCATAATGTTAGCATGGCATTTCTATGCTCTCTTTCAACTTAAAAACTTTAAAACTAATATTGAGGATCGTTCAAGTTAGTTTTACAAGGTTTTCTAAGGATTACTCTAGATTTAAAACTTGGCTTGGCTTCAGCAATTCAACGTGATTGTCATTTTTGAATATCAAATTCCATGTAAAGCTAAAAATAATCTCTTTGATGAGAATTTAAAATTTCCTTCATTCTCCTGAATTAGATAAGAATTTAAAGCATACATGTATAAACAAAATTTAAGTTTATTCAACTATTACTTTGTTTTTGTTTTAATGTACTCTAACTAGGATAAATAAAAAACTATGAAAGTACACATAGCTCAGATTTTTCTTCAGCAATAAAATAAATGACACCAAAAATAAATTGCTACATTTTTAAATGAACAGAAATAACTGGGGCAAATAAAAAGTTTTATGATTTCAAACATTTAGTTTATATCTACTAGTCAAATTCCTTTAAAGAATCCTATATGATATGCAGCTGTTAACTTTGGATCAGAACAAGGTGGCAATGCAAAAAAAAAAGAGATTCCTTTTTATGATAATGAAAGTTAATTTTATCATGTGCTGTTAATTTAAAAACAAGGCATCATTAAAAATTAGAGCAGAAATTACCATCTTCAGCGTCTGGTTCAATGAGGATAATGGTCTCATTTAGGGCACCGATCTGCCCACCCAGGACATCTGTCAGGACGACCTTGAAGCTCTCCTCCCCCTCGTAAAGCGAATCATCAATGAGAGTCACCTTGCAGAGTCGGTCCTGTTCCTGGGGACCAAACCTGATGACGCTGCGATGATCAAACGGTCGACTGAAGTAGTCTGACCCTGAAAGAACCTTTCCTGGGGGGGTCCCTGTTGCTGTACCTTCATAAAATGAAAATAAAACTGGAGTTATCTGTATATTTCCCCCACCATTTTTCAATTAAAGACATGAACATAAAGTCTTTATGCACCAAAAATTTTCTAAATCTAATTTAAATTCATATTTTTTTTAGATAATAAACTGATCAACAGTATGTTACTTTTAATCTTTTGTTAATTACTGATAAAAATATGTCTTCCTACAGTTGTTATAGAGGATTCTTGTCTATATAACACTAGCCTAAAAAATAAATTTATGTGCTTATTTTTTTCATTTTAAAGTCAGGTATAGGTGTGAGGTACCGGTAATTATAACATCTTACTGCTTTACCTGACAAAGTTCCACAAATGACTGTGAGTTCATCTCTGAGGTCACCCTGGGTGCGTCGAACAGGGACAAAGATTTCTCCAATGTCTTCAGAGACCCGTCTCTCTCTCCACATTAATTCTACAACTGGCTCTATAAAATATACGTCATTCATATTAATTAATATTTAAACATTTAAACAAATTCTGAGTTAGATGCAAGCAAATATTGTTATAGTAACCATTAGATATTGTAAGCTTTACAACTGAAATGTGCTAACCGAAATAAGAGTATACAAGAAGCTTAACTTTTAGATATACTGTAGATCACTAAATTTTTGTGACACCTTATTTTCGCAAGATAGTCATTGAATCTTAATTAGCGATTGAGACATAATTTTCATGAATTGTTGTTATTCCTCTATGAAATCATAAGGAATACTTTTATATGGAATAATGAAATTTTCACGAGCTCATAGTCTCGGGTAATTATGCGAAAATAAAAGTTCTTGCAAATAAAAAGTGATTTACAGTAATAAGATTGAGAAGAAAAAATTTTTTACCATCTTCTGGGTCAGTGATTGTAAAGTTAGCAACCTGTGGATATTCTAGAATGGTGGATACAGGATCTGTCAGCCTTAACTGAAAATTTTCTGTGCGTTCATACTGGTTGTCATTCACTATGTGAAGGGTCCAAGTTTTTAAACTTTGTCCTGTAAAAATAATGTGCTATAGCTGAAGATGTACCTGCTCAAGTCCTTATAAAATTATAAATGTTAAAAATGTTTCCTCTCATATTCATTACACAGATATTTACAAAGAGGGAAAAAAGTATGAAAGAGAGCAAAACGAAAAGATATTATACTATCCTAGAGAAACTTAAGATTATATCTCATACATAGACACAAGGGTACCTAACATTCCAACAGTATCTGATTTATTTTCTTAATTTCATTCAAATCTCTCATATAAGAATTAGATACTAAATCAACCGGAGGTATTATAATTCAGTAACTGTTTACCAAATGTTTTACTAATGTGTATACCAATTTCTCACTTCGAGCAAAAGCACAATGAAAGAGTCTGGCTTTCGTGTATTTCTGTTGCTTTGCATAAACTACCGCGGATGTTTTCTTTACCTACAGCTAAATATTTACAATAAAATCTGATACAAGCCAATCAAACGTTTCATTACAATCAGTGAATGAAGCAGCTGTTTTTACAGACCCAGAGTGACACAATGGTATACATGTTAATTAGACTGTGCTTGGCTGAATCAATAATGAACCCATGGCACGATGAATCTCTTCCCTTTCTATTAGAGCAATACAACACACCTTTGCGGTGTGCACAATAAAACAATCACATCTCCTCATCTACAGTGTCAACCTTTGCCAGAATAAGCAGCTGTTAATTTTTTTCTGTTAATTCAGCAGTTGGCATTGTATCTTATTGCTCTACACAGTTGTTGCCCCTGATAACTTAATTTGATAAGCATCTTTTGCTGGCAGTTAGAGATCAAAGGCCTGCAATTACTGGCATTAAATGTTTGTCTCTGAGATCAATGGTTGTCATCAATATGGCCTGTAAGATGCTGCCAAGATGGGGTGTAGAAATCAGAAATGACTATAAATGTACCTGGATTAAATTGGATTTGGGGATTAAACCATTTATGTGTATCAATTCCAAGTCTGGCACTTCCATTGACAGCTGTTATAGCTAGAAAAAAAAATTAATAATTAATAGAAATTTAAAATAATTTAATTTCATTACATTATATGCATGGATGGTTGACAGACTCATGGAAAATCAATGGAATCTCATTTGCAAAAAACAATTGAAGTTGTAAATCTCTGGGGGTGGTGTGTCACTTACTGACAAAGACTGTCTCCTGCAGGTGCCCCCTCCTCTGTAGTTCTATGACTAAAGTGTCAGTTTCATTCACTTCCTGTCTGTCAGCAGTAAAAGATATAAGGCACCAAGTAAGATGGAAGGGCTGGTTTGGCAAAACATTTCCCCCTAAAATGATAAGAATATAATCAGGGTAATTACAGTAGTAATGATGTTAATTCATTTGCCAACTAACCTATTGGCAAAATATAAAAAATACAATGAGCAGAATGTCTGTTTTCCTTTATTATGATATCAAAAAGGGGTAGAAGACACACAATGCTCATGCAGTGGATTCTGATGGCTACGATACTGAGACTAGGTCGAACAAACCAAGCATCTATCAACAAGAGAATCTATGTATCCAATAAGTCATATCAATATTCACATGAGAAAACCAGAATTGGCAGAGTGCTACATGAAGATTTGATGGAGATGGGATGTGTATCATTTTTCAGAGAGAATCTGTCAGAAATGGCTGGTTCAATGACACAGAGTGTCTGTTTTGTTAGGATTTTCGCTATAATTCCTCGTACCTTGTGACTCGGTACAGATTCAGCTACAAATTACACCCAGCAGCCTATGTCTATAATTTATGTCTATAAATGCTGAATTTTATGGTGATATTCTTACTAACTGACATTTATTTTGGACTTAATGTGGCTGTTCATCTGGTATTGTCTGCCAGACTATTCTACAAACAAATTAATTTGATGGAATAAGATATTTTCCTTTATTGCATTTGCCCAAATAGAACCCCCCCCCTTCACAAGAAATGTTAATTTGGTCTGAAAAAGATTTAATTTCTCTATTCAGCTGGGACATATGTATTTATGATTTATTGCAATGGATGAAAGTATATAGTTCTTTCAAACCATAGGAAGATTATACTGGGGTATCGTAATTAAAACCTTGATTGTTAAATAATGGCAAAATGTTAAGATCAATAGTTGCTAGATTTTTACAATTTTTTTTTAAACACAAACTGGTTTATAACATTTTCAAAGGAAGTTATTCTATTTCACTTGCAGATGGCAAACTTTCCTACCAAGCATGTATCGAGGTTGGTTTCCCAGATCAGTTTTTAAATAATTTCATTTACAAGGATACCTATACATGTATAACTATTCCACAGTATACATAATCTTTATTTCATGTAATAATTAAATTTAAGTTCAATCTATTGATCATATATATATTGTAAGCTAGCTACTAAGAGGTTCAATGGAAATAATTTCATATATTAAAGAAGATGCTTTATACTACAATAATACTTTTTTCTCACAGATATATTTTGCTCAATATCAAGAGAAAATGTAATGTAACTGATAGAGTAAATTAATTTCCAGGATATTCAAAGATAAGATTGAATGAAATTTCAAGATGCCATCTTCATCTAGAGTCAGTCAGGATTAAGAATGCGAGAAACAAATCTGATGGAAAATATCAAGTTGAAAAGATGAGTATCAAGCCATTCTCTTATGGTATTTGTTCAAATCGCAAATTTATTTATTCCCTTTCATCGTGCAACATTTGAAGCTTCAACTGTGGGTGTGTGATTATTATTTTTTCCTTTACATCAAATAAATACAGAGAACCTGCTTTTATTCAGATAAAGAAACACATCAGCCATTTTCATTCATACAAATCAAAACTTCAAAGAACTGTGTAAATCTTACAAATTTCCATTAATGTTTTCACCAGACAAATAAAACATTTCTTGTTCTTGATCATAAAGCTTGCATAATTTCATATTTTATATCTAATATATTTTCATCCCCATCCAAACTGATCTTAAAATTCTCCTCAAACAACTTCAAAATTAGGGAAGAACCCAACATTCAACAGCATTAGTCTCTAATGATCATTTAATGTGTAAGTAATTATCTCCCCTTGTGTCAGTTAATTACTCCATGGCAGTGACACACATGTTATCTAGTAACTGTCATTTCTGATTAACTGACATAGAAATCTCTTTCCTGTATCTCCTAACCACTTCAAAGCTACATAAATATTTACTCTCCACCAAAACAGTGAGTACATTTTCTGAGTAATTATTTTATAATTCTCCCTGGTTCAGGAGTGTTATGATTGCAGTACAATTTCTAATATATACAAAAATTCAAGATCCACTCCAGCTATAATAGCTATCCATTTAGGTAAAACCTCTGATTTCACTCTAAAATACATGCATTCTGATTGAATGCATTTGTCTTGTAAGGTTAATTTTAGAGATTCTCTATTCCTTTTCTTCTTCACATGTCTTGAAAAAAAGGTGAAGAAAAATAAAAATAAATCAATGAATAACTAATACTTATTTCACATAAAGAGTCAAGAAGTTGGCAATCATGAAGTTAAAGGGCATTGATCTGATTTTACTTAATCTTTCATAAATTTTATCTTTGATAAAATAAAAAGTTACAATAAACAGAGCTGAAAAAAAATCTTTGATGAAAAAAGTGTTGAAAATCTTAAGAAATTTTCCCCCTGATTACAATGAAAATATGTTGACAACTTTTGTGATGGTAGATAAACACCCAAAATGTTGATGACAGACAAAGTACAAAGATAAATAGCTGACTTCAAACAGTCGAGGTAATCCATTGACAAACCAGCGATAAAATTATCTCCCGCGGTCCTATCTCCGTAATCCTCATTTTGTTCCAGCGCAAAAAACCTTGTAACTAGTATAAATACATGTATAAATTATTGATTGAGAGATTTTCTGGAAGCGTTTCGTAAATGAGTCAGCACATATAACTTCGTTCTCTGATAAAATGCAAAGATTTTTTTCTTTAAAAATATTTTCATTCTCATGTCTCAGAAGTGTAACAATATGGCTCCTAAATGTTCCGCTGCCAGTAGACCTCCCAAAGAAAATCAAACAAAATTCAAAAAGTGCATTAAGAAGTTGGATGAAATCCATAACTTTTATTGGTACATGCTGAAGGAAAAATCTTGGATCCACCAATTAAATACCAATACCTAATATAGGCCATAATACTGGGCCATTGAAGGATATTTGATACTTTACATTACATTTGATAAAATCTTAAACCAGGCCTTAATAGAGCTAATCAACACTGCTCTGGAATGTTTTGTGTTAGGCAATTGCAAGCATAGGAATCAACAATAAGAAAATGTCAAAGAACAATTAACACTGGGTCATCTGTTTAAAAAAATTGTCAAAGTCATAATACACAGCATTGGAAAATTTAAAGAATCAATGAAATGTTCTTAATATTTTGCACTACAGTCCTACACTAACATTTTAACACTTCAGTAAAATTTTTACATTAAAAAAAAATTGTGACCAAAAATTTAATCATTTTTTTTTTAACTTCAAAATCATACATGCATGTATGTTGTCTCAACATTGCTTAAATTAGCACAATCTTCGAAAACTTAACAACATCTCTCCTTATCCCAATAAACCTGATTTGATTCATTTAGAGAACATATACCACTCAGATTAAGTGAGATCTGTGAGGAATCTAAGTTGTTCCCTTTCTAGAATAACAAAAATATCTACTAGGTACATGTCAACTCTCAAATGGTTCTGTACCAGTGACTTAGGCCCCTACTTGACTTATTCCTGTTTGCTCCTTGGGGAGCATAGGGCTGGCACTGTACCAGTTGTGAATAATAATCGGTAGCAAAGAAAATTTTTTCACCTATATTATTTTATATTGAAACTAGAAAGGCAAGAGATTTTATCAATGTGAGAATTGAAACACTGCATATGAAACTTAGAGAACACATATCTATGGTCATGATGGTACAATGTTCAATTATATCGCTGAATTCTTCCTTTTTCTTGACTTTCTAATTTGGAACTTTCTCCCCACCTTATGCAAGGTTTGATATTCAGATAAGCATGTGTAAAATAAAGTGATTGTACCTTTATCTCGAAGCTTGAAGAAGAATGTATCAGCCGTGGCATTAGAAGACGGATTCAGCACATAGAACATCAGGCCTCCATTGATGTCCTCTGAAAAATCAAAATTAAAATGAGTTTATATTTCACAGATTTGGAGAAAAATGACTTGGATGGGTTTTCTATTTCATAAACTATTATCAAAAATATTAACATCTATGATAAAGTTATCAAATTCTTGAAAAAATTAAATTTATTTACAAGGTATTAAGTTAAGGTAGTTGAACTTTTTTTCTGGTGTAAAATAAATTCAACGCAAAAAAAAACTGATAACATCTCATTTTGATAATACAAAAATTCTGAGAGAAATATGATGAAAAAATATAAATACAGGTGCAATACTGATAAGTGTTTGAACTTTCTCAAAGTCAATTTCAATTAAATCCTCATAAAAATCATAATACATTTATTCTAAAATCTGCTCTGCCTCAATAATCTGTCATAAACTGATAATTACAGCGTTTTCCCAACATCTGCAATCAGTCAGCAGAGTACAAGAACACAGGCTGCAATGATTAAAGCTATAATATTTCTTTTACAACTTAGAATTAAAGGTTTATGACATGACGAAAAATATACTTTTCAAATTTTACCCAAATTGCAACGATATCGGCTAAATTAACTGATTGTGACAAAGTATTGCAGGAATCTGCCATGTATTATATAATATTTCACAAGGTCCTGGCAGCGTATTTTGTCACAATCTTGAATTCATCATCTGACACAGCAAGAAAATAGATTTCAATGTGTACTTAAAAAACTGTGCATTACAAAAGACTTTTTGTTCCTGCTCCAGGAAAACAGAATGTCATTTTTCAAATTCTCCATAAATAAATATTTGTTTATGTACTTTTCAGTTTATTAAAATAACATTTAACTCCATCTTAATGCAACGTACCAACCATGAAAAAGATATTTTGTGTTATTAAAGACATTCCACACAACTGGGTGAACAGTTTTACACTCATTCTTATGAGTTCTCTATAATTACAGACTCAAATTCCGCTAGCAGTAAAGAATATCCCTGTAATTATTAAAACAGATGACATATAGGTCACCAGGGACATAGGCAAACCTCCTACAATTCTACAAACATAGCTGAAACAGCAAGAACTAAAAGACAAAACCACCAAAAGTACATTAACCGAAATACTGTAGTGTGTATTTACACAGAAAGACAATCACTACTAACAGAGTTCTGACACAGCAGTCCCCAAATAAAACTCAGAGTGCATTAACCGTATATATTATTTACAATAAATATTCATATCATCAACTAATGTGCTGCAATTAGACTCAAGAAATGAGTCCATCAGAACATTTAGCAAATGATACTTGATCAAAGCATTTCTTTCTAAACATTATCCTCATATTGGCTAAGAAATGCAAGTGATTCGTATGTCTAGCATATGCTATTCCAATGTATAAATGAGCTGCAATAGTATGATATCTATCTTGACGCTTCTTAAACACTTCAGAAAATCCATTCAATAAAGTTCTTCAAATCCATTCTGCATTTATTTTAAATACATAATTGCTGTGCATGATTTTGAAATGGGAACACTCCAGATACAAACATAGACTATGTGTGCAAATTCATCAATCTTAACACATAATACAATTCACACATTTTTAATGAAAGAAACTTAAAAATTACATAAGGTTACTTGAGCCCTCCTAGTTTCTAAATGTGTTTAGCACTACAGCTGTTGTTTCATTACCGAGTAATTAATTTAAATGCAAATTTGCTTTGTAAAATTTTAGACAAAATTTATTCTTGCAATATATAATTTCGAGCGATAGAAATTGCCATGAAAAATTACTACATGTAGATAACAGTATTGTGCTGTAATTTGGGTGTTCAGAAAAAGAGGGATTGTTACATGTGTAAGTTGTTTAGCGCCTGGGGTTCCCTAATCTTTATAATTACTGGGGACATGCCGTGCTCTATAATAAGAATACTCCTACTTATCAGGAACTGCACTGCAGAATTTCAGTGCAAAGAATTTAGAAGTTTTGATAAAAAGCAGGTTTCTTCCTGAAAGTGAAAAAATACAAACACTACTTTCTTGAAGAAAGGAAAGGTCAAGAATGAATTGTAGATACAAAAATAAAAGTGTTTTATTCCCTGTGGGAAAGACGATTTGGAACTTTTCCTAAATAAATCAAGCACTTCACATTGAATATACTGTCGTTAAACCACAAGAGACATATAAGAACAACACAGAGCAAATGAGCTTGTTAATATTTCTCTTGCTATTGTAACTATTGCATTATCTCCTTTTATAACATATACAAGAACCTAGGAGTACATGTACCTCAATCTCTACATTATTCTTACTATCAGTTTGTTAAATGGGGTAACAAAATATTCCACCTAATACATCAGAAAGACTGAATAAGCAACACTCCCAGAAAGAAATATAAACAGAATGTTCACAGACAGACTCCTTTTATAAATGGGTAAAACTGTTACATACCGTCTGTCTTAAATGAACTTTATCATTGTTTGTCCATATTGATAACAGTCTCTCTCCAAACAAATTGTGATGAAGATAAGCATAATTAATTGCCATCATTCTCAAGAAACTACTCTTGATTTATCTACATCATTCATTTCACTTTCAGAAAATTTTGTTTGAAAAAATACGTACATCTTGACAATGTGTGTGTCTGATTATTCTGGGTTATATACACAATGTATAGGAAAAAGATGTTTATTTTACTGCTGAATAAAATTATAAGCTTAAAGATGTAGCACCCCATACTTCATCTGTCTGAAGACATATGTAACTTTTCAAGGTTTGGGCACACTTCACCAGCTGACAAATTAGTAGCTCTGATGGACAAAATTTTGGTTCAGCAAAATTACTATATTTCATACAAATTTTATTTTATTCATAAACATGATGATTTCAACTTTTTTTACCATCAACTCCCTTTAAGTATGTATCCCCTCCATGTGGAGTTAATTTTTCCCAGTTGATTTAATTTAAGAGAGTGTTCTAGCTATGTAGGATTTTTTTCTAAAACATGACAAGCTATTGATAAATAAGCTGATGAAACAAGGATATCTGCACTTCCATTTAAAAGTCAACCTTTCCAAAATTCTATGGTCAATAAAATGGCCTATTATTTTCAAACTGAATTGTCAAGGATTTCTCCTTTGCCTGATAATGACGAGGAACACAGGGAGGTGTGATCAGCATGGGTATTTTTACTCCTCCATGTCACATGATCCACCCCTAATGTTTTTTATCACATTTAGTGGTTCCTCTGCTCCAAAGAATTTGTATTGTTCCAATGGAATTTTGAATTTGATAACTGTATTAAAACTTAATAATCTTCATACATTTCACCAAAACTTTCATGTTTCTTAATCTTTACTTTGTGTACTCTATAACTGAATTCTGAGTAGTGAATTTATTATTATCTCCTTGCAAGGGATGGAGGGGATAGAGTAATGCACTTTTGTGTGTTTGTGTGGATGGATGGGTTATTTCGTTCTTTGTGCAAAATACAGAGGACATAAAATTTGCATTGGGTGAAGTGTGAATGCTGCCTTGATTTATAAATAGGTTTTTTGCGAGGGGATGCTCCACTTCTGCCCTTGTTAAATAAAATGAGCACAAAACTATTGTTAAAGTGTTATGGCCAATAATTTTGCATGAAATTGACATACATACAAATTAATGCTTTTCTGTTTTATAAACCTTCTAAAAAGTGCACAAGATAAGTCAAGATACGTATTAAAACTGATTAATTTTTTTTAAAATAAATTATTTATTTTGAACATTTTAAAAAAAAGTCTCAAAAATATGAAAGGGCATGGTATGGTGGTGGTGGATTCTGGCCCCTTATTTGATGTAAAAATCAGAACACTGTTAAAATTGTGCTAGTTTGTCGTTTGAAGAACATGCTTCTGTCAAAACCAGCATTAATTTTAATTCAAAGCTTAAACAGCCACAAGAGTGTGCACACTGCACAAGTTAGAAATTTTCCCGCATTTTCCTCCATTCTGGTGGAATTTTGTCATATTTGAGATATAATTTTCCCTTCAGGAAACATAGAGGTCTTAGTCTATGTTGTCCTTTATGATTCTTATTACCAGGTACCTTAAATCACACAATAATTCTAGGACAATAAAGGCAAGATGTTTTCAGAAAAGTTGATACACTTCATATTAATTTACTCCAATACAAATATTAGTTAATAATGTAGTGTGTGTCTCTAATCCTCCTTAATATACATTTAAATTTCCTAAATTAAAATTATTCTCATTTTCGCTAGCCAAAAGTTTCTGAAACGCTACTCTCCTCATTAACCCTTCTCATACAGTGTTAAAAAAAGTTGGGATTTTTTTTCAAATTGTGATTGGTGTCAATCCACACTGCTTGACCAATCAGCAATTATTGTTTTTTGTAAATAATGATATAATTTAATTTATATATTTTTCTTACCATCATTCTTTTACTTGATCAAAAACCAAAAATTATCACAATTCAAAAAAATCCTCACCCTGAGTCCAGGAGTTGATGGCTCCGATTCCTTTCCTTGTGTTGACAAGGTGACCATGCTGTGGAAGAACTGTCAATAGAAACGTCAAATTGTCATCTGTACTGTCCCGGTCTTCTGCTCGTAGTACCTTACTCGTCAGCTTCACCCCTGTACGCCCATTAGGTAGATAGCCAAGGGAGGTAATTCTTTTATTTATGGACACACTGGGAATTCCATTGTCCACTGGTACCACCTCAATTATTAAAGTCTGAGGAAGCCTTGTTGGAATGGACATATCAGACAAAACATAGAAGTCCACATTAGTATTGTCAGTGATGGTGAAGGAGAATTCATCCCGAGTTGTCTCTGTTCCGTCATGTTGGTATGTTATAAGGTTATTCACAATGTCCTCGTAAGTGAATGTGTTCACAGTTTGTGAGAAGTTTTTAAGAATGTTGCCATGTAGTGGTACTTGTGTGATGTAGAATGTGATTTTCTGATTGGGTGTGTCCAGATCCTCTACCCTCAGATCAAACGGGGTTATGATTTTGTTTCCTCCTTCTTGCATCCTCAGATTATTGCAGAAGAGCACAGGTTTCTTGTTGTCTACATCAGTAATAGCGATTCTGAATGTCCTTGTAACAGGATTATTCCCATCGGTCACCTCAAACTGAAAGCCATCCATCTTGATTTCCGAATTAGAATTATGAACGTATCGAATCTTGCTTCCGACTAGGTCTAGCTGAGTGAAAACCAGTATTGGACTTCCTGGCTTGTCCGTTGACTCCAGGAAGCCATGAATCGGTGCCTTTGTTATGGTAAACCTGAGGTCCTCATCAGGAGAGTTGATGTCAGTGCCTCCGATCATATCAGTAGTCAATGTTACAAATCCCCCCTCTGGTAACTGCACCCCTCTACTTATCACCTGGGGATAAATGGTGTCTAATTCTGCAATGGTTACATGAAAGTAACGGTCCACAATAGGATTTAGGCCATCTGTTACATCAAACTTAATTAGATCTTGTCCACTATTCGTATCAGTATGGACATACCAGACTCTGTTGTTATCAATGTCAAATTGAGTAAAATTCATGTGTAAAGTTAAATTTCTCACTACACCATCATTTCCCCTCTTTAGAACATATCCATATTTTGGATAGGCCCTAATTATGAAAGTAATATTTGAATCTTCTGAATCTATGTCCTCTGCTCTAAGATGATTGTTGGTTATGAGTTTTCTTCCTCCTACTACTTCTATTTCTAGTCCATTATTCACAGTAAGTCTAGGTGTTTCGTCATCTAAAGGTAAAATGATTATTGGAACAGTGCGGGTAATATTGAACGTTCCATCTGTAAGTATAAATTCAAAGGAGTCCCTCAGCGTTTCAGAATCATCATGTTTATACATAATGGTGGATGATTTCGCTATGTCATTTTCATTAAAACTAGAAACAGGAAAGATTCCTGCAATAGTCCTCTGTTGTACAATCTGACCATGTTCGGGTGGCCTTGAGATAATGTAGGTCAAGGAACCTGGGGGATCATCTTTATCTACAGCTTTCAGAATAGGAGCATCTATTTTAAGTTCCATTCCTTCCATTACAATAAATTCACGGATATACACCTCAGGTTCCTCGTCATTTTCTGGATATACAACAATTGGAAAAGTATTGACAGGGGATTGGTTCGTTCCATCATTGCAACGAAAGCGAAACTCATCCTTCCTTATTTCAACTCTTTTGTGCACGCTTTGAATATAGTTAATATTTCCAAGCCGCAAGTCCTCCACATAGAAAGCAGAGATCGGAATACCCTGTTGTGACTTCTCAGATCCTGGAGCAGGTGCCATGTTCTCCAAATACCCAAATGATGGCTGCCTGGTAATGACACACTGCAGGAAATTGTATGAAGTATCCTCATCCATGGCGTCCAGATGACGAGGTAAAATGGGAGACTTTTCACCTTCCTTGACCCCATAAGGGGCTCCAAAAATGATTTCAGGGGCTTTGTCATTGACTGGTAAAATTTGGATCAGAACCTCCACAGTTTTAACATTATTGTTTTGTACTACAAATCCCTCCATATTGTCAGTTAATGCAAGCACAAAGCTATCATTAGTCTCTTCCATCCCTATTTCTTTACTCAAGTGTTGATAAACTAAAATGCCATCTATCAAATTCTTTTGGGTAAATGATGTAACAAGTTGGTTGTTCATCACTATTCTACCTTTTCTTGGACGATTTTTTATTATGAAAGTGAGATCCAGATCATTGGTATCGGGGTCTGTTGCATTAATTTGTCTATTCCACTCCATTGTACTCCCTCCCTCGTTTATCTGAGTCCTGATGAACAGGACATTGGACTGGTCCCCCACAAAGGAAGGGGACTCATCATCCACGGGGTCAATTTTGATTGGAATGAAAGCAGGTACACGATGAATACCATCTGTAACATACACATTAAAACTGTCTTTTGTGGCTTCATCCCCTGAGTTTTTATAAATGATGTTTCCACTTGCTATATCTCTCAGTGTGAGACTGTCGTTTTGAATTAGAGGTTGCTGAAGATTTTTCAGAACTCCATGTTTTGGTAATTGGGTGATAATGATTTTCAACAAAGAATTCTCAGTGTCTGGATCACTTATTTTTAGTGTATTTTGATTGATGGAAAATTCTCCATTTTCCAAAACATGAAAGCCTGTGTTTTGAACCCTTGGTGGTTTATTGTCATTAGGGTGAATAATAATTTGAAACTGTTCATTACGCAGAATATTCCTGTGCATATCTTCTACATTGAAATTAAAAAATATAATTCTCTTGGTCAATCCCAGTTCTCTGTTTGGTGGAACATAGCAGATTTTCAGGTGATTGACGTGAGCTTGGGTAAAACTGGAGACCCCCTCTGATGGGGAATCACAGAGCACTAATCTCCCTGCTGGTAAACGAGTATATTTATCTGTATCATAAGGTTGTCTTGAGATCTGATATTTGAGATTCCTGTCTACAGTACTCTCATCTGTGTACTTCAGATTCTTTTTCTTAATGACAGTCATTTGAAATTCATTAACATTTAGTTGGAGAGTGGCTTCGTCAAGACGTGGTGGTGTATCATCTACAGGCAAAATTTTCACTATAAAAGTATATTCTTGCGACAGATTAGGTGGGTCCATTCTATCAGATAATTTTAATTTTATTCTATCTACAATGATTCTTGTCATACCTGGTCCAAAATGTTGATAAAATATTTTGCCATCACTTATTTCTTGTTGTGTGAATTCATTTGCTACTTGTTGGTAAACTCCATTTATGTACTGCCATTTTGTTTGATTTGAATGTGCTGAAAACTGTCTTCTAAGAAATCTGCCAATCACTGAATAAGGAGGCTGTTGTATAAAGAGGATTTCCGCATCTTCACTGTCAACATCTGTGGCACTCAAAACAAATTTATTAACTTCCACAATTTGCCCCTTTTTAATATCAAGTCCCGTGTTGTAACTTAAAACTGGAGATTCATCATCTACTGGGTAAATAGTTACAGGAAATAGAAATTCCACACTGTGTGTCCCATCCGTCATTCTGAGGACAATATTGTCACTGTAAGTGTCTGTACCATCATGCTTATAAATCACTGTCCCATCCTTCAGGTCTTTTGGAGTGAAATAATTTCGGTTCCCAGGAATCTTTAATTCACCATGCCTAACCCCATCTACTACAAAAATTTTAACATTATTTAAATTGTCTTCATCAGAAATTTGGAGATTTTCTGTGTGAAGTGGTCGAGACTGTCCTTCAAACATCTGTACCCCCCTGTTGAGAGTGACAATGGGAGAGAGAGTATTCATTGGTTTGACAGAAATAAGGAGGGTAAAAGGTGCAGATCTTAGTCCATCTCCATCAATTACTTGCAGTTCAATTTGGAAAGACCTTATTTTGTCTGAGTCAGTCTTGGGCGGTTTGTAAGCAATCCTCAAATCAAAAACATCTTTTTGGTAGAATGACCTAAGTGGTTGATTCCTGTCATTAGTGCTGACTAATTCACCTTGATCAGGTCCTAGGGGCTTTGTAACATTGAAAATCAATTGGGCAGCTGGCGTTTCCTTATCCTCTGCTGCTAGGATTTTTGATGAAATTGATGTCATTATAAATTGATCAATGGCATTTCCCTGACTTACATCCATGACTAGAAGAGCATTAAAGCTAGGCTGGGGTCTTGTATTTTGGAGACCCCCTTCAATAATAATCGGCTTATGAAAATATTCTTGATACATCAAATCACCATCAGTGTCTGTTATTTCAACCACCAGCGGAATAAAATCTCTATTAGATGAGCTTGCTGAGGCAAAAAGTTTGTAGATGATGTCAAGTTGTAAAAATTTATCACAGTCAACCATAACAAATTCTGAAGTGTCATTAGCAATGTATCCATAACGTGGTAATCCTGAAACTTGGGACAACAGAGTTATTTTGCACCGCTGATTGTCTCTATCATAGGAAAAACCTGTATTGCTATCAGAAAAGGAATTACTTAATCCTGAAAGTTTAGTTACATTAAGAGGAATATTCTTAGTCACTATTTGATATTGCACATTTTGAATTTTCACATGAAAAATTAATGGAATGATTAAAGATTGGTTGGCAGATTCATAATGAATCATTAAATGAAGATAATCCTCTTTGGGTTCTTTGGCTCCATAGTGAATGTATTGAACTGAATTTTGAGGGAAATTACATGGAAAATTTTGAGGCTGCAATTTCCCTGGTCCTTGAGACAAAAGATCACTCTGCAACACAGTCACTCTGCATCTGTCCTTCTCACTAACATTAATTTTTAAATCATTATCTGGACTTACAAACACATGGCGTCCAATAAAAACGTCCACACCAGAGTTTTTAATTAAAATGTCATTATCTGTCAAAGTCCCCAAACTTAAATGAAATGTCACATTAATCAATAAAAGGGTCAGGTAAATATCCCAGTAATGAAATCTGGTGTGCCGCTCGCATTCTCTCTGTCCTGCGTTGACCGTTCCTGCAATTAGCATTTTGGTTCGCACATCAAACCAAGATGCGCTGTTTACAATTCACGCGTCGCTAGTGAATACGCGTGCATCCTTTGGTGTATGTAAACAAAACACCACATGTAATCTCATAACTCCTCCTCGCTGCTCAGCCCATCGCTCAATCTGATTTGTTGACATCCGCGCATTAATATTTATTGCCTTCTAAAGAGAGAAGCTAAACACAACTTTTTTAGGCTCTCTGTGACTTAAAATGGTATCCCTGAGATTAATTTATAATTTTTTTAAAAAATATTTTGTTTTATTTCACTACATGCACACAATATTTAGATTATCACTTTCAATCACCTTCTGCACTATATCTTGGCAGCTTACTGTGAATAGTCCCCGTAGCTCGATCCCGATTTGATTTGAAGAGGGATGCAGAAGAACTTGGTCCTCAAACTCCCATTTTGTGGTAAAACTGATCGAGACTTGAGTTATAATTTATCAAAAAGTTACTAAAAAGTATGTATAGATAGTATCTACACATGTAAAGCACAGTAAAACATTCACATTGAGTGAAAATGTTGCAGGGGCTCCCCATCCCAGCTCTGCGCTCTTCAATCCACACGTGGGTGGCGGGAATCTTTAAAAACTTTACTTTTTAATCATCTTTAAAATGTTGATTAGGAAATCTGTATTTTCATCATGATTTTTTTTGACTTGGATGCCTGTAAACTACTAAAAGAAAGTAAAAAGACAAGCAGTCAATTAATAGAAAAATTAATTTTATTGGGTTGGATTTTAGTTTCAAATATTTTAGAAAATATAAAATATTGATATTTTTCCTTTTATTAACACCACATATGAGAAATGTGAATATGGGTAGAAACATCAGATACACTGGGGAAACACATGAAATTCATGTAACCCCCCCCCCCCCCCCTTAAAAATGCTATTTCATAACTGGCCATATTGTAACGTTTCTGGGTTCGAAGATTCGGTTGCTCTGCCTGAGCAATTAAAGGAATAAATCAAATAATATAAATTTCTCAATCAAAGATTTTAATTATCAATATATACAATATCCTATTCTGTCCTGGAGCGCGTGCGCTTCCTAAAGTTCTAAGCAAACATTAATATTTCCCAACTTGCAGAAAAATACAACAGTTACGTCTCGAAAGCCTTATTCAGGCACATAAGACTTGTTAAGCAAGTTTACGTTTCTCACCTTCGCTGGTGTCGACTTCAGTCTGGAACTGACTAAGAGCTCTGTATCGCTGCTTATATACCCTAAACTATCACGTGATCTCCGAGGATCGAAAGGGTAAACTAAACAGGAAGTATTTATTACACACGAAGCTTCCGGAGGACAGAATGGGATTTATCATTTCGATTCCTAGTTTTGTTTCATTACCCACGCCTCCAGGAATGCGTCCCGCATTAAATCAATAACTACCTGGGCTAAAGATATAACGCGTGGTATAAAACAAAATACAACAACAAATTTTAAAGCTACCTGGCTTTCATTGTTCATAAGATTTAACAAATGTTGCACACACAAACCAAATATCATCAAACACTGTCATTGATAAAATAAGAAAACAATCAACCAATGATTCATAAATGTGCAAACATATCCAATATGACATGAAATCGTCATCAATATCAATGTCTGAAAAATAACAACTGAGAATATTCTTTTCAAAACCAGCTTTCCTCCTCATGCACTTCAACGACTGTTTTCCCGTCTCTTTGGTATGTCTCCTGTACCCTATCTAGTCTACGCCGTTTGTCTTTCTCTGTTTGGGTGCCTTTCTCTTCACAATCTTTATCCGTCAGGGTACTCGCATCAACTAACTGATAATACACGTGTGTCTGCGTACTGGCATCCCGAGTTAGAGATAACAACTGCACGGGAGGTGCATCCAAATGAACAGAGGACCGTTTTCTGGGAGTTGTCATTGGATGTCGGAATGGTGATGGGGCACGTGGCGTCAAGGGGTCCTGGCTTGCTATGGACTTGGATATCGGCGCAGAGACTGGTGCTGGTCTGGTAGGCTTCCTCTGACAGACGGCTTCCGCAGGACGACTCTGTGATGTGCTCCCGACCACATCAGACAGATTTCCTGGGTCCAACTGTTCCCAATCATCTGTGCCGCTATCAGCTGCAGCGAAAACTACTTCACTATGTCGAGTGCGGCGATGTCTCCCCATGTCACTTTTCTTATTAGTAGCATAATCACATTCGGCGCATTCGAATTTCTTCTGTCTCCGCTGTCTACCGCATTCCACCACATGTCTCTCCCACTCAACCTCGTCTAGAAATCTCAGATTACACATCGGACATCGATGACCTTCCTTCCTGGGAGTAATCTTTGTATTAACCATGATCTATTGAAATAAAAAACTTTAATTATTCATATTTCAATATTATCACAACAGGTTATCTACATATTTACAATAGCTTATCTTATAGCTCTAAGCACTGTAATCAACTTCGTAGTCCTGAAGCCATTTGGGTAAGTTTTTCGCACGGCGCGGTCTACTGCTTTCGCTTGCAGCAGCTTCTTCTCTTAAAACCCAAGGTTCATCGAATTCAGCCACAGGAACAGCCATGGGAGACATCTGATCTCCAGCTGGAGTATCATTCCTATCACTTATGTCTTCCTCAGTTTCTCCTTGTAGTACTTGTGCATGGCTTTTTCTCATCCGATCACAATGTATGACGGTGCTTTTCCCTCTAGAATCACAAGCAACCTCATACAACACATCTGACAGTTTCTTCTCGACTTTGAATGGTCCCCTCCAAAACGATGTCAGTTTTGGGGAGCAGCCACTCTTACTAACTGGAAAATATACATAAGCCATATCCCCTGGCTTAAATGACGACCATGATAATTTTGTATCATGATACTTCTTTTGTCGTAACATCTCCCCAGGCATATTTTCTCTCACAATTGCATGCGCTTTCTCTAGGCGTTCGCGCAATATCCATACCCACTGATGCGCTGGAATGTCTTTCATCTCTGACGGCATTTCATACATTAAATCTAGAGGCGTTGTTGCCTCTCTTCCCAGCATTAGCATGTTGGGAGAAAATCCCGTACTTTCATGTACTGTGGAGCGATCAGCCATTAAGATGTAGGGCAGGTGTAAATCCCAATCTTTTTGATTTTCATGGACATAAGCACTCAGCATTGATATCAGTGTACGGTTGAAGCGTTCAACCATACCATCCGATTTAGGATGGTACGGAGTAGTCCTTGTTTTAGTGATTCCCAGCAACCGACACATCTCCAAAAATACTTTGCTTTCATACTGACGCCCTTGATCTGAATGGAGAACGGAAGGAACGCCAAATCTTACTATTACTTGTTCCATAATCGTTCGGGCGATAGTTTCTGCTTCCATATTTGGAAGAGCAAACGCTTCCGTCCATTTTGTGAAATAATCCGACACGACGAGAACATGACGATTCCCTCTGTCGGTTTCCGGTAATTCACACAAAATGTCTGAAGCTATTCTCTCCATAGGCACGCCAGATGCAACGATCTGCATTGGAGCCCGTCTTTTAGGAATGGGATTCTTTCTTCTTGTACAAGCATCGCAGCCTGCTATATACTGATGGACATCCCTCTGTAATCCTGGCCAGTAATATCTCTGTCTAATTCTGGCTAACGTCTTTGTTACACCAAGATGTCCTGATGTTTTATTATCATGGCACATCTTTAATACATTTCTCCTCTCTGAATCTGGTATTATAACTTGAAATGTTTCTCGATTTGAGGGGAGTAAAATCCATTGTCGCACTAGGAAGTCATCTCGAATGCTCAATCTCTCAAACTGATTCCATAGTGACTTAACCACGTAACCATGCTGTGAGACATCAGCAAATAATGGTCGTTTGCCTTTTTCCACCCACTGGCGCACTAGCTGAATATCTTTGTTAGCCTTTTGTGCTTCTAAAAGACTTTTATTTTCCTTATCACATTCCTCGTTTGTTACTTTCATGGATGACTGCACAGATCTTACTGACAGGTTAGGTTTTTCTTCTTCCCAGTTAGGGTCAAATCCACACTGTGTGCACGGAATTCTACTAAGAGCATCTGCATTCCCATGTTTTCGACCTGGGCGATGCTCTATCTTTATGTCATAGGTGCTAATTACCTCAAGCCATCTTGCCAATTGGCCCTCTGGGTTCTTGAAGTTGAGTAGCCACCTAAGAGATCCGTGGTCTGTTCTAAGAAGAAATTGTCTTCCGTACAGATAATGGCGAAAGTGTTTTGTAAAGTGTACGACAGCCAATAACTCTTTCCTTGTCACACAGTATCGTTTCTCTGCTTTTGTTAATGTGCGGCTGGCATAAGCTATCACTCGTTCTTTTCCGCATATTTCTTGTGAAAGCACGGCACCTATGGAGTGATTGCTCGCATCTGTGTCCAGAATGAAAGGTAAAGATACGTCTGGTAGTGCCAATATCGGCGCAGAGATCAATCTGTTCCGAAGAGTTTCAAAAGCATCCTGTGCCTCTTTTGTCCATTGAAACTTACGCCCTTTCTCTGTAAGACGGTGCAAAGGTTTTGCTTCCATAGCAAAATCTTTAATAAAACGTCTATAATAACTGCATAACCCGAGGAAGGAACGAACATCGGATACGCTTGAAGGTACAGGCCATTCAGCAACAGCTTTAATCTTTTCTGGGTCTGTCGCAATGCCTTCTTTCGAAATGATGTGACCTAAGTATGAGACTTTTGTGGCAAAAAGGTGACACTTTCTTGCTTTCAACTTTAGACCTGCCCCTTGCAGTCTATCGAAAACCTTTTCAAGATTGCTGAGCATATCTTTGAATGATTTTCCAATTACTATTATATCATCGAGATATACCAGGCATATATCCCACTGGAGACCTGCAAGAACCGTCTCCATCAAACGTTCAAAGGTCGCAGGCGCACAGGTAAGACCAAAAGGCATCACCTTAAACTGAAAAAGACCTTTGCGTGTTACAAAAGCTGTTTTACTCTTGTCCTCATCCTCCATAGCAACTTGCCAGTATCCGCTATTGAGGTCTAGTGTAGAGAATAAGGCATGTCCGGACAAGTGATCAAAAGCTTCTTCTATATTTGGGAGGGGATATGCGTCCTTTACTGTTATTGCATTTAGTCGCCTATAATCAATACAGAAGCGCATCGACCCATCTTTC